CGCATGAGGAGAAGCCCAGTTTGGGAGAAGGCAACAAGGTTTCGGAAGTGAATTTTCCGAAGGATGCTGTTGATGAATGGCCTGCGCCCAAGCGGATCCACACTTTCTATATCGTGAAGTATCGGTCTTACGAGGACCCATCAATAAAAGTCAAAATCGAGCAGGCTGATAAAGAGATTCAGCGGAGGAATCTAGCCAAGTTCCAGATCACTGAAACTTTGAGGGAGAAGAGGGTAATCAGAAAATTTGTGCATTTTGTTTTGATAAGTACACCTTTGTTTAGCTATGATTCCTTTTACCATGACTTTGGCGGTGAATATATGCGTTATGGCCATTAAAATTATGATTGATTTGATGTTAGTTTTTTATGCATATAGAAGATCTCACATGGAGATGGCATACTAATGACAGTGTTCCGCCCGATTGTCTTTTTCTCGATTTTTTTGAGAATATGAGAGGTCAATTGTATTTCTTACAATGGTGTAACTTTTCATTCTTCACTTAATAGTCTTTATACAAGCAAAATTCTCACTGCTAATTTCGCTCTTAGCGGTAAGAGTATTGTCTATTCCCGAAATGTATACAAATTTCTGTTTTTCTGTATATTAAATTACTGTTGTTATGCAACATCAGTTTACCAAAATATGATTTCTTTACCTTGTTTCTCTGATTAAATTAGGTCGGCACTTAGTTTTTTCTTTCCATGCCACGTATCTTTCTTATGAGTTGATATTTCCATTGAATTTTCCGCAATTGTTTGATTGTGGAGAAAAGTGAAAGTACTGTGCTGAGGCACCATGATAGAAAATGACATAGATGTTGTGGGAACACATTTGGTTGCAGACGTTTGATATTTGTTTCGACTATGCAGTCAGAGAGGGGAGACCTAATTGCTCAATTGAAAGCTCTCGGGGTGGAGAATAGGAACTTTAATATTATTGTGGACGAGAAGAGAAAGGATATGGAGCCCCTGCACGAGGCTCTGGGCAAGCTTCGTTATGCAAACACTGGTGGTCGAGGAAGTGGCTTATGCTCGTCCGAGGAAGAACTTAATCAGCTTGTAGGTTTCAATTTAAGTTCAGTTATCCCTGGACTCTCTATAATGCTGAAGTTGATAAGTATGTTATTTTGCTCTTTTCTCTCTGCTTAGTGAGGTTGATTATTGCAGATCCAGAGCTTGAATTACCGGATCCAGCATGAGAGTATCCCGTTGACAGAGGAGAAGCAACTTCTGCGGGAGATTAAGCAGCTTGAGGGGACTCGGGAGAAAGTCATCGCAAATGCTGCAATGAAGGCAGAGGTTCAAAAGTCAGTTGGAGAGAAAGAAGCCATCCAAGACCGAGTCAAAGTAACTCATTCGAATTCAAAATTAATTATCCTATAGGTTCTTTTGAAGCTTTCCATTCATTATTAGATGCAGACATTGTGCACCCTTAAGTGATGCGCGCTTATAATCTGCGATATCATGTGAATCCAGCTAATAGGTGCTGGTCTGGACGAGGTTAGGAAAGATCAGCAGGTGGTTAAGGCAAAAATTAAGGTTCTTAAGGAAGAGCTGGAGGCAATAGATGCGGAAATCAAGTCTTTGCAAGATGATCTGTCAAATGTTATCCAGAAGAAGGATAAAGCATATGAAACTATTCAGGAACTGAGGAAAAAGCGTGATGAAGGGGTACAGTTTTTTTTTCTTTCATTCCTCTTTGCAGCATTGAGTTATTCTGCTTGCAGAATCATAAAAAGTAGTGCTATACTTATGTCTCTTCTGGGTGAAGTTACCAATCAATGAAAAATTTGAAAGCTGGCTATGCTGAAAATTCACTCATGGGAGGCTGGGACTCTAATAAGGTTTTAAAAGGCTTATTCTTTACTATGCTGAGCTTAGATCGTCGTAATTGCAATCTGCTGTTGATAGACAGTGTAGTGGCATTTGCACAAATGCAGCTCTCAAATCTGCCTCTAAATGTGTATTTACTGAATGCTTGTTCATCCAGGTTGCTCAGCCATTATCTTGGAATTTATTTCTAACGAATGCTGCATTATCTCAGAATTCTTCTTTATCAGTGCTGCTTGTTTGTCATCTTCCTGCACAGCTTTTACGCTGCCGTGAAATACTTGTTGAGTGAGGGAGACTCCAATAAGTTTGTTAATTAAATACTCTCCAATTACTAGTTATTGTTTGCCTGTATTGGTACGAGATGAAGATACCAATATTAGTTAAACATGGTGTTTTGTCAGATAAAGTAATGCTACAATTGTCAGAGAATAGTACTGCAATTGTAATGGTGAGGTGCAGGTTGTGACTTTTTCTGCATAGTGAACTCAGGAGAGCTTGACATTACCATAGTTTACCTAATAACTTGACAATATGGTTGCTCTGAATATGCATCCTGCTTTTACCTTGTGCATATCAGTCAGTTCTTTCTACACTAAACTGATTTTTAAGGGGAAAAGGTAGTAAAATGTATCCTTGGATTTGGCAGATCTATCAGCGAGCCAAAAATCAGGCCAGAAATCGTTATATAATGATGTATTCTTATATAGTTAAAGTGTACAGTTTACATACATTTACTGTTCTTTTCCAGAATGCCTGTTTTTACCGTAATCGTACACTCTTGAACCAAGTCAAAGAGCTTGCAGCGAGGAGAGATGTCAACGCCATTGAAGAAATTTCTCATTCTGAGGTCTGTTATTTTGGCTTCTGATTCTATTTGAAAGTCAAGATATTAGCACAGATCATTGCTGTTTCATGTAAACATATCTTACTTCTTTGCTCTTATCATCTCGTTGTTCAGGTCGAGAACTTCTTTGCTCTCTGGAATGGCCCCAGAAGTTTCAGGGAGGATTATGAGAACAGAATCACGTCATCTCTGGATTTTAGACAGATGAGTAGAGATGGAAGAACAAAGTCCCCTGACGAGAAACGAGTGGGCACGGTGGGAGATTCAGTATCCTTGGAAACAGAGACAGTCGTCAAGGCCAGTGCAAAAAAAGCTGCAAAGGAAGATCCTAAGTCGATGGCGCAGCTCAATACTGCTCCAGCACAAAAGGTCCAGAAAGAGACTGTTACGAAAGTCCAGAAAGAGATTGTTACTAAATTAAAGGATATTGAAACGACACCAGAGCATCATGAACTAGCTGAAAAGGAGAATGCTGACGTACAGAAACCTGCGAAGGCCACTCCACCAGCAGTTGAGGTCGATCCAGTGAAGATGAAAGAGATGAAAAGAGAGGAGGAGATTGCAAAAGCTAAGCAGGCTATGGAGAGGAAGAAGAAGCTGGCAGAGAAAAATGCTGCCAAAGCGGCCATTAAAGCACAGAAGGAAGCTGAAAAGAAACTCAAGGAAACTATTTTTATCCTTTTCTGATATGTTGCTTCAGATGTTACTTAGAGGTTAGGATTGACTGGTGTTTTTTTGGGTATCTTCAGGAACGGGAAAAGAAGGCAAGGAAGAAAGCTGCCGTATCTGGTCCTGCTACCGATTCGGATGAAGCAGTACCTGAAGAATCAGTTGAAATTGAGAAGGCGGATTCAGGTGTCGAGGCTGTTTTTCCTGCGAAGGAGAAGTCCATCAAGGAGAATCCAGTCAGACACAGGACTCGTCCAAAAGGTGCGGAATCACTTCCGAAGGCAATACTCAAGCGGAAGAAGTCAAGCAACTATTGGGTTTATGTTGCTCCCGTTGCTCTTGCAGTTGTCCTATTGCTAGTTTTAGGAGGATACTACTACTATACTTACTGAAGTAGCGATACCGCTAGCAAGTATAGTGATGGACATCCGGTTTCATAGATCTGTAGTAGCAACTTTGAGGTAATTTTGTTTGTCCCTCTGGGGGATGGACTAAAATGTCATAATCGTCGAGCGACCCAGTCTCTTGAAATTTTGACTATAGTGAACTATACCTGTTCCTGGGACATTGCTCGCCGTTTTCAGGCAAGTTGTGGGTGTTGAAGATCATATTGCATGTGCCTTTTGTTGACATTTGCTAGTGATCTGGTTGTGAAAGTACTGGACTTTCTGTGAATTTCCTTGCGTTTTGTGGGTTGCAGTCTTGTTATTGAACGTGTCCTCCCAAAGGATGATGCAATTCTTAGCTTCTTTGCGTGCATGATTGTGATTCATGACTGTGCCGCCTTCTGTGGTTTTGCAAGTGGCATTGTTCTTTGCTCATCCGTTCGAGGAGAGATGCTCGGGTTCCCCAGGTACAATGACATGCATTTAGATCTGGTGGGGGGCAACTATGAGTTCCACCGCATCCAAGGGTGCATGTGTAACTAAGTTTTCTCCCTGTTTGGAGAGATGGGATGTTTTAGTGAGCCCGGCTCAGTGAGCCAAAGCTCACATACACTTGGAGCATGCGTTCATACTTGGAGCAATTAGTTTGGCAGGAGAGTGTAAAATGTGCACTGCCTGAAGTTCAACTTCTCCTTATGAGAGACAAAAAACAGAGCAAGTTTTCAACCTCATGATAATTTCCACGAACACTAATGCATTTGTTAGAATGAAGAATATTTCGTCGTCCAAAAAAAAAAATTTACGTGTAAATTGTTATTGACAATGAAAATATTTTTCATTGACTAATTATTTCAAGCGATACAAAGTATCATTGTCGGGAAAATATTTTCAAAATCATTCATTTTGCGAAACAAAAAGATAATGCCCGTATTTTTAAAGATATGATAACCATGCGGTTTTACTAATTAAAGAGAACGATGACATATAAGTATGACAAAAGAAATGATAACCGCGTCAATTAAATCTCTTACGCACGTGTAAGCATATCTATACTAGCGAGTTTCTCTTCTTTGTCAAATATTAGAGAAAAATGAATGCACGTTATGGTCTAAAAAATTTGCACTTTTGCTTCCTTAAAAAACTCAAAATTTTTGGATTTTCATCTTACAGGCCCAGCCCAAATCTTCCTTCTCCTTCAACGGCCTCCTTCCAAATTTAAAATTTCTTAGACGCTCTCCTCTTCCCCCTACTCTCTTCTGTGCGAGCATCGATCTTCCACTTTCAAATTCCTCTCTCTCTCTCTCTCTCTCTCTCTGCATTTTGCTTCGTCCATGGCGGCCACCAACACCTTCCTCACCACGCCCACCAAGACTCCCTCTTCTCAGTCCGCTCACCCCAAGCGATCCCTCCACAACACCAACCCCAACCCCCTCGACCCGTCCTCCTCCTCCGCCGCCTCCTCCCGCTTCGAGGCCTACAACCGCCTGCAGGCGGCCGCCGTCGCGTTCGGCGAGAAGCTCCCCATCCCGGAGATAGTCGCCCTGGGCGGCCAGTCCGACGGCAAGAGCTCGCTCCTCGAGGCTCTGCTCGGGTTCCGGTTCAATGTCCGCGAGGTCGAGATGGGAACCCGCAGGCCCCTGATTATGCAAATGGTGCATGATCCCTCGGCGCTCGAGCCGCGTTGCCGATTCCAGGTCTAGCTTTTTCGGATGAATTGCTTACGTGGTCTGGACTTGTAATAGTGAAATGAATCTGGGCAATATTTTCTGACTTTTCATTCAACTATCAGATATATAATTTGGACTGGTTTTGTTGGTAATGAATTCAGCGGTTGCTGTCATTGTAAGTTGGTGGGGGATTGAGCAACTTTTGATATTATGTTCTTTCGTTTGCTGGACCATTGTCAATTGGTGTTGTCTCTGGATGCAGTTCTGCCAATTGGGCTAGTGTCTGGATGTTAAGTTCACAAACATGTTTGATAAAGTGAAGAGGAATCTGGACATTTTTCTTGTACATGGTCATCTTTTGAGTTCAAGAATGCGTATCAGTCTCAGATGCATAACTGCATATTTATGCACACTAAAAGGGTTGGAGTGGCTGTTGCTTGATTTTACTGAACTGTTCTACATGTGTGGTGGCAGGAGGAGGATTCTGAAGAATACGGAAGCCCAGTTGTTTCATCATCTACTATCGCAGACATCATAAAATCTCGAACAGAAGCAATTTTGAAGAAGACCAAGACCGCGGTATCATCTAAGCCAATCGTGATGAGAGCTGAATATGCTCATTGTCCAAATCTCACAATTATTGACACCCCTGGTTTTGTTCTTAAGGTTAGTTGATTGGGTCAAGCATAGGACAGCATAACCCTGACAAAGATTGCACATAAAACAGCTATATCTAGGCTTTTACATGAAATTCCGTAACTTTGGTGCAGGCAAAGAAGGGAGAGCCGGATAACACCCCTGATGAGATTCTTCAAATGGTTAAGTCATTGGCTAGTCCTCCTCATAGAATTCTTGTGTTCCTTCAACAAAGTAGTGTTGAATGGTGTTCATCATTGTGGTTGGATGCAATTCGTGAAATTGACCCATCTTTTAGAAGGACAGTGATTGTTGTCTCAAAATTTGATAATCGTCTCAAGGTATGTCACCATATTATTTTCCACCTCCAGCATTATTTGGACTGTTATAAGTAAGGCAAATGATCAACTAAGAATGAACTGAGAATTCATGAAAGTAGTATAAATTGAAATCATGAAAATTGCAGTTGCTTTGCCAAAGTTTTTCCGCTCGTGCCTGTTACAAGTTAGAAACTTGTCGACCTCATGACTAGTCATTTTCTTCCTTCATTTGTACTAATAGTTGAGTATTTTGAGGAGAGACTCATGAAATAGTGAATTTCTAAGATACTTAGATTTGACATTTTAGCTAAAATGTATCAGGAGTTTAGTGACCGGTGGGAGGTGGACCGATATTTGAGTGCCAGTGGATATCTTGGAGAAAATACGCGTCCATTTTTTGTTGCCCTGCCAAAGGATAGGACCACCGTTTCAAATGAGGAATTTCGTCGGCAAATATCCCAAGTGGATGAAGGGGTCTTGCGTCATTTACGTGAAGGCATCAAGGGAGGATTTGATGAAGAAAAGTTCAAGACCCACATTGGGTTTGGTTGTTTGAGAGAGTTCTTGGAATTTGAGCTTCAGAAGAGATACAAAGAAGCCACGCCTGCAACCCTAGCTTTGCTTGAGCAGCGTTGCAATGAAGTTACGAGTGATCTAGCCAGGATGGACTCAAAGATACAAGCAACTTCCGATGTCACTCATCTGAGGAGGTCTGCAATGATATATGCTGCTTCTATCAGCAATCATGTGGTGAGCATATATGAAACTCCCCACTCTCTCAAAACTTTTCTTTTGAAAGCATCTACTGACAAAGGCCTATGAAGAAGTTTCACTCCGTTCTTTCGATATTAACAAGTTCTGATATATTGAAATTGTCAATTTTCTATTAACAAATGGCAGCTGATTTCTGTGCGTATTTTTCTTCTACTTCATTAGTTTACTGATCAAAACAATGATGATATTATTTTTAATTGTTGAAGGGAGCTTTGCTTGATGGAGCAGCAGATCCTGCACCAGAGCAATGGGGCAAAACAACCATTGAGGAGCAGTCACAGAGTGGTGTGGGAAGTTGGCCTGGTGTCACTGCAGATGTCAGACCTGCCAATGCTAATCTCCGGCTCTACGGAGGAGCTGCCTTTGAGAGGGTCATGCATGAATTCAGATGTGCTGCCTATTCGATTGAATGCCCTCCATTGTCAAGGGAGAAGGTATGCATCACGATAGGTGTATATACTGTGCACTAATATCATTGAGCATCCTGCACACGAAATTTGATGTACGAACTCGATAGGGGTAAACTATAAGGTATCTTAACTTGTTGCAGGTGGCGAATATATTGCTCGCCCATGCTGGACGAGGCAGAGGCAGAGGACTGACAGAAGCAGCTGCAGAGATTGCTCGTGCTGCTGCTCGCTCATGGCTTGCTCCTATGCTGGAAACTGCTTGTGAACGGCTTGCCTTTGTTTTATTGAATCTGTTTGATATTGCTCTCGAGAGAAATCACGGCTGTGACTCAGACTGTAAGAAGCTATTCTGTTTTCATTTTTAAGCTAGAATTATAATAAAACCGTTGAGAAACTAGAATTGACACAACTTGGCATGTTTATCAAAGAAAATTTTAGCAAATTCGCAAATGACATGAATCCAAAATAAACAAAATTTTTAGCACATTCGACATAAACTGTAATGTTTTGCAGTGACACAAATTGACATCAATTTGTAACCTGAGCTTGACATCTGAACACCAATTGACAGTCCTGTGGTGTTTTTTTTTTTTTTCTAAGGGCTAAGTAGATTTACTCTTAGAAAGATAGCAAATCGTATATTTACTTTGTTTTTCCCTCTTAGCTTGAAAATTTAAGAAAACAAGGGGTGGTCCTTTTGTTTTTCTAGTTTTTCCCTCTCACAACTTAAAAATAATTCTTCCTTTTCTTTTTACCTCCCTTATTTAGATTTTGATGATCAGGCTTGGCTTAAGGTAGTTGTTGGTCATTTTTGGTTGTATTGCTTCTTGCACACGTCCTAGTCCTAAGTGGTTTCATCTTAATTAAATGTGCACTCGTTGGAAAGTGAAGTTACTAAGTGCTATATGGAATTGGGAGATTTGATATCTCCTAGGGTAATAAATAAAAGTCCAACATCTTTCACGACCTCCATTTAGCATTTATATCTAAGTGAAGCTTGACTTCTAAGATTGCGTGGCCTTTATCTGATTCAGCAGGTAGTGGGAAAGATGGAAATATGGAGGGATATGTTGGCTTCCATGCTGCTTTAAGGCATGCTTACTATCGCTTCATAAAGGATATTTCTAAACAGTGCAAGGAATTAGTTCAACATCACCTCGATTCAGTTACAAGCTCATATTCAGAGGTCTGTTATGAAAATGACTTCCAATGTGGCTTTGGCTCGAGTGGGACGTCATTTTCTAAACTAAACCAAAGTTCAGTTTCACTATTTCTTGAGTTGTCTGAAAAAGGGGCAGCACCCCATGATGAGACAATGAGAGATCAAGAGAACATACCTCTTGAAAAGAGCACATTAGAAATCACCCCAGGGAAAGGCGCGGATGGGAGAGAAGCTCTTCGAGAATGCCAAATGACCATTCCTGAAACTCCATCACCTGATCAACCATGTGATATGGCCATTAATGTGGTCAAGAAGGAAGTGGGAAACTATGTAGAGGCTGGGCCAAGAAAACGAAATTCAAGAATAACAGGCAATAGCAGACATATGGAGCACTTAAGAGTTCAAAATGGAGGAATTTTATTTGGCAATGGTGATGCAGGTTCAAGACCAGGCTCAGCTTACTCTGAAATCTGTTTGTCTGCTGCCCAGCATTTTGCACGGATACGTGAAGTCCTCGTTGAGCGAAGTGTGACATCAGCTCTGAACTCTGGATTTTTGACTCCTTGGTAAGCTTTTAAAGTCTGATGAAATAAGCTAGCATGAGTATTCTCTCTATCAGTACTAAAATCGGACCAATTTTGTGGTGTCTTTGACCTTGTCAGTGTATTCAACACTACATATAATCTATATTTCAAAATGGCTGCGATTAGTATAATGATCAGTTTTTGGGCAGTGTTTTTTCCATGCATTTTGGTATCTTCAGCATCAGAAGCTCCCACGTAAAGAGCTGTTTTTTGGCGTCAAGCTACCTCCCTTTTAGGTCTTTCATTTTATCTTAGTTATCTGTATATCATGGTGTCCACCTACTTAAGGTCAACCTTCTTTTTGCACTAGCACCTCTTTAACTTTAAAATTACCCAAGTGACTCTATCTTAACTAATGTTTTACTTTCTAGGAGGTTCCTTTGTTTACCAACCTTGTGAGTTTTTCCATTCAAATGATGAACAATATAATTGCATGTCCCCTTTTCTGATTTCATTTATGATTTGAATTGACAACTGATTATCTGTTATGCTGTTTATTCTCATAGCCGGGAGAGGCTTGTGGTGTCACTGGGGTTGGACTTGTTCGCAGTGAATGATGAGAAATTCATGGACATGTTTGTGGCACCTGGTGCTATTGATGATCTGCAGAACGAAAGACAGTCTCTTCAGAAACGTCAGAAAATTCTGCAGTCTTGCTTGAATGAGTTCAAGACGGTGGCCCGGAAACTCTGATGACCTCCAACTGTTTTGTTTTCTGCTTTCCTTTTCTTGAGAGTGACTTCATATTGCGGTTAGGAATGGCTTCACCTCTGGTGAAACAAAGAAAGTTTTAGGCATTTAGTCAACTCCCCCCAGGATTTTCTTACCATTCTTGCGCCACAGTGCGACTCATTCACCAGTCATTTGCACTTCACAGGTTGGTATTGAGTTGTATAAAGAGAGGTATTCTATTTGACGTGCCACACTTTCCTGGGTTGAGGAACCAGATCACTTCGGAATGAGATGAGCAGTGTGAGCACAGCGCACCTCTTGGCTGGTTTTTTAGTGAGGGAATATATTTTATGACATGACGAGTTGACGAGCTTATTCACAATTCAAACGGTTAGGGATGCTCTTTGGTTATTTTTGAAGTCGATAGGAGTCAATGATAGAAATAGCACATACAAGGCCACGGTCAATCTGACTGGCTACCACGTATAAAGCTATTATGATACTCCAAAAATTAACAGCGACTTTTCATTGCATAGATATTTTGGTCGACAAAATAAAAATCGGAGACTAAAATCAGTATGGTTTTGCCTTGTAAGCTTTAGATTAAAAGAACTAGTATATGAAAGTGTATGCAGCAATTAACTGTGATGTTATAATATTGAATTCGAAATGCAGAAACTTCGTATGGCAATGTGGTTAAGTTGTTTCCTTCTTCTGACATTTTTAACGCAAGTCAAGAAGCAGAAATTATATTCTATAGCCTGAGTTCACAGTCTCGAGCCCCATGAACCCCATGATTTGAGCTGCAATGCAAGTTGTTACATTGTTTTCAAGCGAAAGCATGTGCTCGACATTAGCTTTCAGCTGCTGCATTGTCAGTCGATGAGTCTGAGGATGGTGGATCTTACCATATTCTTGTCAAAAGCTCTCAGCTTAGGAAATAATAAATACCATTTTATTGATTATCTTTGGTGATGAAGCCGGCCAACAAAGATTAACAGTTATTCTGCATGATTATTTCTTAAAGAATGTGTAATCAGTATTGTATAATCATCTGGTTGGACTTTGATAAGCACAATGCTATGTACCACGCCGAGGGAACTTTTATGAAATGAATCTCTGCGTGGAATGAAGAAAATGAGTGGCGCTCTTTTTATCTCTTTTGGTTCTCTTTCCAGTCACTTGATAATTGAGATCGATAGGGTCGGAATCAATTCCGAGATCAAGTTCTGCTAGTAAGAGCTACAAAGTGACCATTAATTAGGCCAAATCTTCCTCTCTCCATTAAAAATGTATGAATTAGAAAATGGGTTGGACGTCTCTTCCTGAACTATGTTTATTTTGAGAAGTTTCACTCTTTATCGAGAAACATCATATCAGCCGGCCGTGGTAATTGATCTTGCAGCATGTCTCATCCTCAGATGAAATCTTATGGTATACACCAGTGGCGAGAATAGCTATTAATTAGCCTTTTATGTGACGATCTTGTTGAGAAAAAAAAAGAAAAAAAATCAATTATACTCTAATTTAATTCCTTTGCTCTTTTAGCCAATCCTGAAGGTTTTTCTTAGCTGAAGGCATGCCATTAGAGAAGTTCCATTCATCCCCATATCATCTGACATCCTTTTCAAGTGGTTGTGAAAGAATGAAATTGGTAATGGTATCTAGAACGGAATACTACAGGCAAATCGGTCCCTCCCTCTCATTTTTTCCTTCTGCTCTGTCCTTGTCCCTTTTGATATATTGGATTAAGAGAGTTCGATGCTCTTGTTGCTTCTCTTATATTGTTTTACTGCTTATGAAGCAAATTTATATAAGCTTAACAAAAGATTGGTTGATTTTGGTTGACGAATTAAGGGTTCAATTGGCAGAGCATGTTAATGTGCAGTCACATACTGACATGCAGTGGAGGCTCTGAGGTCAATGAATCAATGACAGAGACAACAATGTTGATTCCTCTCCCAAGGACCCATCTCAGTTTTGCCTAGCTATTTCACCTTTCTGATCATCAAGTGCCTCTGTGTATTTTCTTGCAACCTACTTCAAAACGCCCCCCTCCCTCTCCTCCAAAAAAGTTTGCGTGCGCGTGTGAGGGGTGAGAGAGAGATGACAAAGCAAGGTTGAAATCAAACCGGTAGTCCCTGTATTCTTGTCCACAATTCAAAATCGTCCTTGTACCTATTTCTCTTCTCCAAAATCGTTCCTATACTTTTTAAAAATGTGTTATGTTAGTTCTTCCACTATATTTTTCTATTGCTAGACGATTTTTACTAACGTAGATCAACGGATGGCTGAGTTAGATGTCGGAGTATATGCCTTCTATTATGACTTGCAAATTTTTTAATGTGGCGTCGTCACATTAGCCAACAGAAAAGTAAGAGAGAGAAGAGAGAGAGATTTGGAGCTTCTGGACACGGCGGCTAGAGCTTTCGGCGCCATGATGGGAGGAGCTTCTTCAAACTCTTAGCCATGGTTGCTGGAGTTCTGTCGAGCTTGATAATGGCGGCTAGAGCTTCATTGAACTTGCGGCCACGGCTGTTGGAGCTTTTTCGAGTTCTTGGCCATGGTCGCTTGAGCTTCGTCTCGCTTTCATGGCTGCTCAAGTTTTTGCATTGATGGGGGTGTTAAATTATTTGGGTTTCTAATTGGATCTTGTAGGGCTTAAGAGGAAGAAGAAGAAGAAGAAGATAATGATGATGGTTGCACTTAGAGAAGAAAAAAATCCAAAACAGTGAATTTCTAACCCCGTTAACTCACGTCAACAAATTCTATCGCCGAACCGATTGTATCGAGATAATCGGTGACACCTTTTAAAAAGTAGAGGGATCGTTTTGAAAAAAAAATAGAGGGATAAATTTGAATTTTAGACTAAACTATAGGGACCTATTATGATATTTCACCGAAAGCAAGAGAATTGTCAAACTACATTCAAAATATGCACTTCTCACTTTTGAAAAAAGACGTTGCATGAACTCATTGTATATTGGACTTTGTAAACAATGTTAACTGCACAATAAGAAACATATGTCGTCCATTTTGTGGGGTTTCTTTGTGTTTTTTGCTTTTTCTTGAAGTACAGCTCTTCTACCTTCATCTACTTGGTTCTTATTAAACCTCGTTTTCTCCAATACATCCTATCACCACGCAATGATCTGTCTCTCTGTCTCTGTCATTGGCGAAGCACCTTAAGCCTCGCGAGAGACAACATCGATCCATAGAATAAAGCTCTAATCCATAACCTCCTTAAACATCACGCGCTACTGTAAAAGCACTATGAGTTGCGCCAACAATGGGGCGGCGCAAAGTTCCACCCGACCGCTCACTCCGAAACCTGTCTTCAGGCCCGACCCAGACCCATACCCGACAACCTATGTCCAAGCAGACACCACCACCTTTAAGCAAGTAGTGCAAATGCTCACCGGATCATCCGAAACAGCGAGACAAGCCTCGACCGCCATCCAAGATCCGGCGCTGCCTCCTTCAAGAAGTGTGAAGCCTCCTCCTACGACAAGTAGTCCTAGAAAGCAAGGTTTCAAGCTGTATGAGAGGAGGAACAACCTCAGGAACTGCGTCATCATGAACACTATAGTTCCCGGTAACTCATCTCTGGACATTCCCGGGTTCTTATCGCCCAGATGTAAGGCGGAGATGTCGCCAAGCGCACTGGATTTTCCAAATAAGCTTGTGCTTAGCCCCGTCACACATTTGAGGGAAGACCCCTTTAACAAGTCTTCTCCTACTTCGGGAAATTTGTCCGAGGAGGAGAAGGCCTTAGCTGATAAGGGGTATTATTTGCACCCGTCGCCAAGAAAGTCTCCCCGAGATGCCAAACCAAAGCTTTTGCAGCTCTTCCCTACAACTTCAGGTGCTACTTCTTTCACAGAGAGATAAAGAGATGCGATATCCAGAGCCATTTCACGATTCTAGCCAAAGAACAGGAAAGGAATGATCATGGTCTCTCTCTCTCTCGCTTGATGGAAATAGTAACTTTGTACCTGAAAAAAATTTGGGGTATGGACGAGTGAGTTCTGAAGGACACCTGAGGAACTGTAAAGGATGCATAAAGAGAAAAACCATGTGCTCCCTTAAATTATACCGTCTCAGCAGGTTTAAACAGGCTGTCTTCACCTGTTTTATTAGACAAGCAAACTTCACTGTCGATTGCTTCTTCATAAAATGATAGCTTCATCTCATATCATGAATTTCACGGTCCCAACGGAGGTTCCATCTCACCAGAGGTATAAAAGTATAATACATTACTACTCCAGCACGGCCAGGTGAAATTGATGATCCTCGATATCATTAGAGTAACATTGTGTGTGCCCCTCAAGTTCTGCATATCCGAGTGCATATCTCTGTACTTGATGGTTGTTTGAGAAGTTCAATCCCTATAGCCCGTGCGAGCAAACGCACTATTCGAGCTTTTTTTATCATTTGACCTATTGATAGGTGTTCCAGGACACCCATGAAACTCCCTTAAGGATTCTTATAAAATGGGAACCATTGCGACATATTACAGGAAATCACGAAAAGGTCGTCAGACAGTCACAAACATAGTCTTTTCTAAGTGGGTCATCAACAATGTCGTTGCTCTTCAAGAGGTTTGGCCCAGGCCTCTTCAAGAGCAACATGCGCTCGACCCGTGACTCAGTAATCGCCTTATGTTCGCAGACTGGTGCATTTAGGAACTGACGATAACTTGGAAAACCAAGGATAGTGATGGCGAGTACTATCTGCGTCACCACAACATCCATGTTGAGCATTGCAAATGCACTGCAAACCTTCCACTCAAGGAGGATCAGGTAAGTTGCCCAAAAATTGATATCATATCATGAGGTGAACGTCTGTCAGAATAAGGCGACTTCACTTGGGTATAATATTTCGAATGGAATGGGAGAATCAAAGGCATCTCATGTGCTTGCCCTCTCATTACTAAGTTACGAAGTGATATCACTAGGTCATTGTCAACAAAATACATTCTTTTGTCTGAGAGGATCTTCATCCTGCAGAAAACACATTATGCAATCTTTTGGTGCGACATTACTCTGACATTTATTCAATTTTTATTGGTGAAAGGTGTTGAGGAACATGCAGTGTTACTAGCCGAAATTTTTTTATGACAAATTGCTTAGACTAGCATGTGTGGCTATTTGCTCAATCAATTTAAGTTTGCCTTTGACGCTATTTTCTTTTCAGATAGAGAGACAACTACTGCATGTCCATTTGGTTTTGGCTGTGCTCTGTTTTCCATGTATGAGAATAAGGCAATGCGTATCCATTCCTCAAAACTAGGTCTATTGGCTGCGCGAGAGATGGACAGTAAAGAGGTTTTCCTTGTCAGGATACACAATAACTGTTAATATGCAGTTAACTAGCTATAGTGATTGAAAAAGAATTCACAAACTACACATCTGATCCATAAACCGATATAAGAGCAGAATAACATCAAAATGGATAAGCCAATTATCTAAGTCAGATTCAGGATAAGCCAGACTCCATCATCAGATCTCCATGAATAAATGCACTGTTTGAATCCAGGATTTTCTGGAAGAGGTCCATTTATAGGGTGGACAGAGACAATCACCCGAACGCCTACACACATTGATCAAGATTGAAATGTTAGCAAGCTGAATGGTCACTACAGTTCTGAGAAACTAGACACAAAACAAACAGCGAATATGGACTGGAGGATGGCAAAGAGGTGTAGTCGCATAGGATTGAGATTTAAGTGGTTTTCTGGTCATGTTCAATATGACTAGACTTTTTGGACGAGAAATGCATAAGTGCGTGTGCTATGTTTCTGCTCATAAATTATGAGTTTTTTATGGTCACATGAACTAAAGTAATTTTCTTCTAGTGTATATTGAAAACATGAAGTAGGAGTAATTTAGTTTCATTCCAAATGAAAAAGAAAACTCATCAGCACTCTGAATAAATCGAGGACAATGCCATACTGTCATGGCCTAGCTAATAAAATAAAAAGATTTCAGTCAAAGGCCTTGAGCTAAAAAATAAAAGAAAAGAAAAAGAAAAAGAAAACTTCTCTCAAAGATCTATAGTTGCATGTCCACTATAATTTCATTGGTAATAGAAGTTTCTGCTTATTGAAACCTTTATAAAATATTTCAGACAAGAATTTCAAGTTATCCATTTGCAACTCCAGAGAATAATATCAAGATTTATAAGACTGATTTTCAGACACCTTGAGCATTCAAAAGACTCAAAAGGAAGCCTTACAACTCATAAGTACCATCCATAGCAAATGCATGCAAAAGGTTTGAATAAATGACGTTTTAACGGACATATACCTGCATTCTTTTGCAGCAATAGCTTCTTGATAGATATCAGTCACAAGTAATACCTCTGATGGCTTATCAATCCTAGTAACTTGGATATCTCGATAACACTACGTGCCTTTTTTCTGTTCCTATACATGAAAGAGAGAAGCTATTGATATGATTCACAATACCAGAGTAGTTCAGAAGCTCTCATTCAACTCTGGCAAAGAAAATTAAACGAACGAAGTAGATTAAAGAAAAGAAAATAATAAACGATGCAAGATCTTTACCCCCCCTGAAGAGTTGAAATATCCATATAGATACGTCCTTAGATCTCCATGATTAGTATAGTGGGAGTGGCTTAATTTGAAGACCAGACCGATTATTCCAGCCTTCCCACCATCAGCTAATGTTCCTTTGCTATACTGAAGAGGACCATGATTTGATAATAACCATCCAAACCCATGTGATGAAGTTTGATAGCAGCATCAAACAGATAATGGTAACACTCAGCCTGAAAATATAGGGTATAAATATAGGGAAATGAAAAGTATTTGCCCAAAAAAAGCATAACAATGGGAATGCTGAAATAGGGAATCCTTTACAAGGAAGCCACAAAACCTGTTTACACTAAGCATCTGTTTCAGCACGTAATGTAAAGCAAATAGATGTGGATACATAGGGTAAATTAGTACTTTCTCTGGCCACAATTAGAAGTCTAGAACTGCTGCTAACATAGTGGCTGGATATTCCTTCAATGTAGCATGGGGGATTTCTTTGGATGTCAAATCTAGCATCTCCTTTTTCCCCCTTCAAGCAAAAAGAAGAAACATTCTAGCAACAGTGTTACTGATTCAACCCTTAAGTGGGAAACACAAACCTGTGTTTTAGCACTGATCCATTAGTCTCCCCAGGAATATATACTGTGGTTCTGAACAAGCACAGCTGTCGATCTTGGGTACGCTTCTACCTGAAAAATGACATCACTCAATCCAGCAACCGAATGTGTATATGGTTGATGATTTTTGGTAAGAATTTATCCATTCTTTGGAAGAAACTAAAGATTTTTCTTACCAGAAAGAAAACAATGACCTTTTTTCTTTGTTTTGTTCCCCTTGTCATGCAGGGGAAGGCAAAGAAGTAGGGTCAGCTGAAGAGGGAATATCGGGTCCAACCCTACACCCTTCAAGCATGAGTACAACATCAGCCATGGATGGTCTGTCGAGTGGATCAGGTGCTGTGCAGAGAAGTCCCACTTTGACTCCCAGTAAAAACTCTTCCCACTCTGATGACTCAGGGTCCAGCTCCAGCAGACCAGGTTCAATTAGCTCTGAAATTTGACCCTTCTGCAATTGCTTCTTTACCCACTTTACAATGTCCTCATCTTGAGTGAACATGGCCGGTTTCTTCCCAGTCAGTATTTCCAATAGGACAATCCCGAAGCTGTACACATCCGACTCCTTTGTCGATTGCCCGGATAGTGTCGCCTCGGGTGACACGTAACTGAGCGTGCCCACTGGAGTGGCCGAGGAGGAGGCTTCAGCTGTGGTGACCGAGACCAGACGGTCCAAACCAAACTCTGATAGATGGGATTCGAAATCTGCATCGAATAGCACGTTCTGAGGCTTCAAGTCACCGTGAACCATGGTCATTGAGTGCAAGAAAGCGAGTCCTCGAGCAACTCCAAGCGCGATGAGATGACGCATGGGCCAGTTGAGAACATGCCCATCCCGGTGAGATGCTTCTTGAAGGAGAGTGGCCAAGTTCCCATTAGGCATGTAATCGTAAATAAGGAGCCTTATGTCAGGTGGTCCAGCGAAGTAGCCTCGCAGGACTGTCAGATTGCGGTGCTTGATCTTGCCTAGTGCTTCCGCTTCTTTACGAAATGTTCGCTCATTGATCGATCCATTGAGGAGGCGACGTATCGCAAGGACCATCCCATCTTGAAATGAGGCTTTGAAGACAAGCCCATATCTTCCCCGGCTTAGTACATTCTCCTCAGCAAATTGTCTAGTTGCTTCTAGCGTTTCTGAGTATGTTATCTTGTTCTTGAACATGACGAGCTTTGCCTCTCCGTTTTCTCCGCTTCCACGGCCCCTTTCTGCTCCTGAGCTTGTACGAGGACTTCGCTTCTTTTCCCCAGCTGCTCCTCTAAGCTTCTTTCGCCACCTCAGGAGGCTGTACACATAACCACAGCAGCATAACGCCAAAACAATTGCTCCTGCTACAATTAAAGCAATGAAAAGAATCAGCCTTTTTCTTTTCTTGGCAGTCACGTTTGGGCATTCTTGAGCCAAGGGTTTGCCGCATAATTTTCCATTCATTTTGAATACAGAAGGATCGTTGAATCGAGAACCCAGTGCCCGTGGAATCTCTCCCTCGAGATCATTGTAAGATACATTTAAGTACACCAGTCCAGGTATTGCTGAAAGATTTGCTGGAATTCTTCCACCCAAGTTGTTAGAGGAAAGATCCAGTGAGGTTAGGTTCAGTAGTTTTGACAAAGAATCGGGTATATGGCCTGAAAGGTGATTCAAATCCAATAACAGAGTAGTCAAAGAGAAGCACTGGGACAACTCCTCGGGAATTTCTCCTGTTAAATTATTCTGACCCAAGTCAAGCCTCTTCAAATGAGAGAGGTGAGAGAATCTGCTCGGAATTTGACCCGTCAATCTATTTGAACGAAGTTCAAGTACTTCAAGATTGGAACAGTTACCAAGCTCTACTGGAATTGGACCTGAAATATTGTTTCCAGATATGGACAGAACAGCTAATGACGGAAGGAATCCATAAGTAGTTGGAATTGTGCCGTGAAACAAATTCGATGTGAGGTTCAGATATTGCAAAGAAATTAAACTGCTGAAACCTTCAGGAACATCCCCAGATAAACTGTTCTCTTCCAAGGCAACAATTTGCAAACTTGGCAACCCGAAAATTTCAATTGGCAATTGCCCAGAGAGATTTTGTTTACTCAAGTCCAAAGTCGTTAATCTCATAAGACTCCCGATGCTCCCAGGGACATTTCCCGAAAATCCACAATTACTAAAGTTCAAAACTAGCAAACCCTTCAACTTCCCAATACTGGAAGGAACTTCACCAGAGAACTTGTTATTGCCTAAATTCAGAGTACTCAAATTCTTGAGTTGCATTAACTCTTCCGGCACAACTCCAGTCAGATTATTATTGCTAAGATCCAAATTCTCGAGCCCCAAAAGGCTTCCAAGACCCTGCGGAATCGAACCAGCAAACCTGTTCTCTTTCAAGGAAATCACTTTCAAGCTACTCAACTGACTCAAAAACCCCGGAATCTGGCCCGAAAACTGGTTTCCCTCGAGATCAAGGACTTGCAACAAGCTGCATTTCGAAATTTCGTTCGGAATCACTCCCCTTAGAGAGTTATTAGCCAACCTAAGCTCCTCCAGTCTTGACAGATTTCCAATACCAGCAGGTAATATACCAGAAAAAAAATTCCCAGAAAGGTCAGTCACTTTCAATGACGTCGACGCATACGTCAACCAATATGGGAATACACCCCGTACACGATTCTCGTGAAGGTCCAAAACCTCCAGAGAAGTAATGCACTTCTCACTTGGCGGCTCGGATATTCCCGTGAAAGAATTAAACCCCAGACTAACAATCCTCAGGGAACTCGAATTAACCGGACCATTACAGAAAAAAGAAAAAGGAATTGAACCGGAGAGATTATTGCTCGTCAGAGAGAGAACTTGAAGCTTCGGGATCGTCCCTATAGTCCCCGGAAGCAAGCCCTGAAGCATGTTGTCTTCGACGCTCAAAAACACGAGCGAGGAACAATTTGCCATCGCCGAGGGAAGAGTTCCGAACAAGAAGTTGGAGTCTAGCCACAAGTACTCGAGCTCCTGCAATGCTCCCAAACCGAAAGGGACTCGACCCACGAACCGGTTGTACGACAAGTTGACGACCCGGAGATGGGAGCTCGCCGAGAAGTTCGCCGGGACCTCGCCGGAGAACTCGTTGGACGACAAATCGAGGAACCGCAAGCTCGGCGGCATGTCGCCGGGGACTCCGCCGGAGAGGAGGTTGTGCGCGACGTCGAGGACCTGGAGGTTGGTGAGGTTGAGGATCTCCGCGGGGAGGTCGCCCGCGAGGGAGTTGTTCTGCAGGTAGACGGCGCGCAGGAGGGAGCACCGGGAGAGCGCCCGCGGGATGGAGCCGTTGAGGACGTTGGAGTGGAGGCTGAGCCGGCGCAGCTCATGCAGGTCGCCGAGCGAGCCCCCGAGCCGGCCCCCGAGCTGGAGCCTGCCGAGCCGGAGCTCGCGCACGCGGCCGGCGTAGCAGGCGATGCCGCGCCAGTCGCAGGGGGCGGAGGGCGTGGCGGGATCCCACCCGGCCGTCGCGCCGCGCGGGTCGCTGAGGCCGCGCTTGAAGGACAGCAGGGCCTCGACTTCCGCCCGGGTGTAGCTGGTCTGAGCGAGCGCCGCGGAGGAGAAGAAGAGCGAGAATGCGAGGACGAAGGAGAAGAGAGAAGGAGCCGTTGGTGCTGCCATTGTGAACCTTGCGTTTCAGAGAGAGAGAGAGAGAGAGAGAGAGAGAGAGCAATGTGGGTTGGTGATGCAGTGAAAATGGGGTTTTCCTTAGGGTTTTTGTGGTGGTGGTGGTGGTGGTGGTGGTGGTGGGGGAGTGTTAGTGCACTGGAGGAGCGTATGGTGGCAGTGATGGTGGCAGAGACGGAGAAGAAGGAGAGGCCATGGGGGAGCGCGCAGGTGTGCGAGACAGTGTTGTGTCCTGAGGGGGTAGCGTCAGTTCCCTTTTTGTTTTGTATAAACGGTCGGTTTTTTTTAATATCCCAACGACGGTACGTATGTTGTCGTTTCCGGGGCTGACCTCGGTACCCTGTTTTTAGAGCTGTTCCTCTTATTTCGTGAACTTCACGTGGAAAGACAGTCCGTATTAAAATTTACTAATTTTAATCGAATCGTTGAAATTGCTCGCTTTTTAAAGCTTTATGTGTACGGATTGGGTTTTACCATGCAAAGAAATAATGACAAGGTGATCAGTAGTCCTCGCATTCTTGTACTTTTTTTTCTCTCTCAAATATAATCATTATTTATACCTTTAGAACGCATCATCAATATGTAAATACCGTAACTTTAATGTTTAAAGACAGTGTTGTAAAGGTTTACAACTTTAAGAAATCAATGCAAATAAAATATTACCCTCATTTTAAAGGACTGCGACATTTGGCGAAGATTCGGGATATTTCGTCATGAGTACTTTAAAGTGGTTTGGAACATTTAATTATCCCGGTCTTTTAACGTTTTCGGCATTTTTATAAAGAATGGCCACTTATTGCCGTAACCAAATGCAAGTTGTCATTTCTAACATAGTTGTGCATGCACAAAACAAAAACGTTTGCCGGTTACAAGCTGATATGTCGATAAGTAGGGATGGATTTAGAATTTTGACTTAGTGGGGACAAAATAAAATACTGTCTACAAAAAAGTAAAAAGAGTCGAGTATATATGCTTCAGTATCTGAACTATTGTCCCGATGCTTAAAAAGCCTACTAGAATCAACGTTTGGTCGATTTGTTTATCTATCGTAACTACATATTCATGATGTTAGAATTTGCTTTTCAATCTTTGTATATTAATTTTGCGGGGGCAAATCAATAGAAAAAATGTTCGATTCCATTCTCTTGCGAGATTTAAGGGGCGACAAAAGGCTGAAATAGTGGAGCACAGCTTGAAAAGCTTTCGACAGCTTCAGCCATTTTTCTAGACTTTGGGAAAGGCGAGTGGAGGCCAGACGACCGCTAGATACAATGGAGATTCGTCCCCGCCAATAATTGCAACATTTCAATGAGTGAGTCGTATTCAAAATCTAATAAGATGGTACCACATTCCTTTTAGAAATCAACCTTTGGCATTCCTAGCATCATTGTATAAATTGTACAGTCCGTCTTCAACTGTATTATTAAACAAGCAGACTTCACAGTCAATTGCTTCTTCATGAAATGATGGTTTCATCTCATGTCATGTGGTAGTTTAGGAAGTTCAGTCCCTATAACCCAAGCGAGCTAACCCGCTATCTGAATCTGTTTCAATCATTCTGACCTGTCGATAGGTGTCCCAGGGCGCTCGGAAGGGTTACTTAAGAAGGCGAAACTTCATTATCAATACGTTGAAAATTGGAACTCTAGTAGCATATCGCAAGATCGAGGTCTTAGATGCTCGTAAACCTCTTCCATGCTCGTAAGCATCATGGAGGTTTGAACCGATCTTCTTTAAGAGCAACATGCGCTTGACCCTCCGCAATGGAAACAGGACAATGCACGGTTTATGCTTGCAGAATGGTGCATTCGGAAACTGATGATAACTTGAAAGAAAGCAAGTTGCTATTTGATCAAAAAAGCATTTGGGGTCAAGCCAGTTACCCATTTACTTGAAATGACATTCCAAGTGCGATGAAACAAGCAGCTGTATCTCATACACTTGCCTCTCATTACAAAGATAAAAACCGGTGTCACTCGGTCATTGTCAACCTAACTATAATCTATTGCCTGAGAGTATCTTCATCCTGCAGAAAGCACAAAAAAGCTGCAGTTAAGAGTTTTACCAATTAAAAAAATTTACCAATAACTAGCATGTATATCTCGCTTTTGCAGTTCGATGATGTTGACTGGAATGCTGTGGCATTACTGAAACACGGATGCGAGTTTTATTGGTGAAAGGTCTAAAGGACATTAGTGCTACTGACCGAAAACTTATTATTCCAAATTGCTTGGGCTAGCATGTGGAGATATTTCCTTGATCAGTTTTAGTTTGCAGTGACACAAATGCTCCTTTTGGATTGAGAGATACCTACTTCATGTCCATTTGTTAGTGGCTATGCTCTGTTTTCCATGTATGAAAATAAGTAAGGACATGTGTATACATTCCTTGATATGCTAGGTCTACCAGCTACATAGGGTTTTCTTTGTCAGGATACACAATAAGGGTCAACATGCAGTTGACTTGCTATGATGATGGGAACAAAAAAACGCACCACACATCTGATCCATAACCAATTATGTGAGTGAAATAACATGAAAATCGATGAGCCATTTACCAATACCAGATTCAGGATAACTACGCCAAATTCTGCCATCAGATCTCCATGAATGAATGGATTGTTTTGAACCCGTGATTTTCTGGAAGAGGTCCATTTCCAGGCCGGACAGAGACAATCACCTGAAGGCCTACACGCATTGATCAAGATTCAATGTCAGCATGCTGAAATGCACAGTAATGTTCTGAGAAAACAGACTTGAAACAAACGGATGCAAATATTGTCTGGAGGATGGAAAAGAGGGGTAATCACATAAGGTTGAGATTAAGATTTAAGCAATTTTCTGATCGTGTTCAATATGACTAGACATGTAGATGAGGAACGTATAAATGCATATGTTCTGATTCTCCCCGTATATTAACTGCAGTTTAATTGAAGACAAGCCAAAGTACATCATAACTAACTCTTTCTTTTTTTTTTTTTTTTTGGAGCTGGGATTGAGGACAGAATAAAGCCAATGTAATTCAAAGAGCTATTTTTGTTCATAAGCTGAGAGTTTTTGATGGTCACACATACTAAATATATATTCTCTTTAGTATGCACTGAATAACATGGAGATAGAGTAATTCGGTTTCAATTGAAAAAACTCATCAACACTCTGCATGAATAAGGATGAAGCCATTTCGTCATTACAAAGCTAATACAAAGACTTCTCTTGAGAGCCGGGAAACACTGAGCGTGTTTCAAGTGACTCAAGTGTGGTTGTAATCTCTGTCGTATCGCTTAAAAAGTGAAATCCTATACTGCTCTCCCATGGGATAGGTCCCACCGACCGAACTACGTAAATGCAGTTAGAGGTCTATAGTTGGGCATCCCCTATAACTCAATTGGGTATTTTGTTAAGTATTTGCACATGGAAACTTTAAAAAATACCAGCACTGGTTAAGTCAATATGATGGGTGAAATGTCCTTGGGAGTCTATAGCCACTTTTCTACCACGAATTTAAACTTATAAGACCGACTTTTAGACACCTTAAGCATTCAAAAGATTCAAAAGGAAGCCGTGCACCACAGACCAGAGCAAATGCACAGAAAGAGTTGAATAGATGATGTCTCAACGGACACATACCTGCATTCTTTGCAGCAACAGCTTCTTGATGGACATCAGTCAGAAATAATATCTCTGATGGATTATCAACTCCTAGTGACTCCGCTATCTCGACATAACTATTTGTTTCTTTTTTGTTCCTACACACGAAAGATATAAGCTATAAAATAAATCTCCAGTACCTGAGTAGTTCAAAAGCTCTGACTCAAGTCTAGCAAAGAAAATTCAACCAAATAAGAACTAGATTAAAGAAAGGAAATCAGGAAATTAGGCAAGATCTTTACCCCACTGTTGTGTCAAAAAATCCATAAAGGTACTTCCTCAGATCTCCATGATTTGTATTCCCAAATAAGAGTCTTTGTGCTAATCTGCTGCCACTAGAATATATGTATACCTGTTGCACAATAATTAGCTGCTGTTAACGCTGTAAATGACATCAGTACAGCTGATACATATAACCATTTCCATTTTCATGCAATCGATGGAGAGGAAAGAAGAAAATCCCATTTAACTGAGCAACAAAAATCATCTGTTGCTGCACAAAAAAAAAAATTAAAGAAACATGTTGAGGGAAGAAAGCATCAGCTAATGTTTTCCTCCAGGACGAGTACGGAATCAAAGGATAACACAGAGCGGCAAAAGAAAAGGATGAAAAATGTAAGAGGAACAGACAGCAAAATCAAAGTTACCTTTATGCCCAGGGCATTCCATTTTCCAAGAGCCACCGGTACATCCTCAAATACTTCTCCCTTCAATTCCTGATTCTGAAACCCAGTTCGCCATATGTGACCCTGCATGGTACAAAATACGCCTGTCTTGCTCACCTATACTTCTCAACAACATTACACCAAACACAATTTGATATCAGCCTATGCTTACTTGCAATTGTTTCAAGGCAGTGATCTTGCGATCAGCTTTTATCATTGCTTCGATGTTAGCAACCAAAGCCGCTATCACTTTCTCTTTCCCTACTTCATCTGGAGGAATGGGTAAGGCCCCAGGAACATCTTTTGCCAAATCATCTTCGACCTGTAAATAGACATACCCAAATCTAGAACATCAAGGAATCAATATAGCATGTCTTCTAGCAAAATTAGGATACATCGCTCCATAGTTGAAGGAAATTTGCATTAGTGTAACCTTTGACTTATATCCTCTTTATAGCATATACTAGTTAGCTCCAACTAATCATGCACGATAAATAGTCTCAACCATTACAAGTGAGGAAATTTGACAGTTCCATTACTAAAGCACAACATAAAGTTACCTGGATCCGTAACAATTTGATGTCATCTTGAGTTTCTAAAGTATCAAATGCTGCAGACAAATGCCTCTCAACATTATCCCGTGCATATGGAAAGAGAACATCAGTCACGAATGTTATTGGAGTAGTGGTTCCTTCAATGTCCAGAAGAATGCAGCTCTGCAACCAGACAAATTAGGCAAGAAAAAGAATTAACTGACCTGGAATACCGAACATCTAAAGTTTCTTTAAGTTTGCGAGTCAAAAGGGCACTTTCATCAAGATCAAGACAGTATATGCTGCACATCGTGATTCACAATCAGTGATATTTATCTATGGGAAAAGGGGAGTGAATTCAGAAATATACTGGAAGTGGCTTGATTTGAAGACTAGATCCGATTATTCCAGCCGTCCCGCCATCAGCTAATGTGCCTTTGCCATATTGAAGAGGGCCATGATTTGGAGACGACCAATCCAAACCCATTTGATTAAGTTTGATTGCAGCATCAAAGAGATAACTGTAACATTCAGCCTGAAAAAATAATGGCATGAATAAAAGAGAATAAAAATAGTCGACAAGGGAAGAGGAACAAGAGTAATGCTGAAATAGGGAATCCTTTACAAGGAATCCACAAAAGCTGTCAACACAAAGCATCTGTTTCAGCACGTGATCAGAACTTATCATTGGGAAAAGTGGAGATCTGGATACATTGAGGTAATGGGAATAGTTTCTCCGGGCATAACTAGAAGTTTAGAACTTCTGCAAGCCTTGTGACGAATATTCTTTCAACGTAAAATGCGGAATTCCTTTTGATGTCAAATTCACAACCTTCTTTTTCATATAGAAACAAGTAAAGTTCTAGACAACACTCTGACCAATTCAAATCCTGACGTGGAAAACACAAACCTGTGTTTTAGCACTGATCCATGAGTCTCCCCATGAATATATACCATGGTTCCGAACCAGTACAGCTGTCGATCTTGGGTACGCTTCTATCTGAAAAAAAGCGTCACTCAATCCAGCAATTTAGTGTAAATATGATTAAGAAGTATATACTACTAAGAACAATGATCCTCTATAGCCATCCACTGTTTTGCAAGCATACTAGCACTCTACTAGACAGACTCCTGGAAGATCTAGATAAGCCTCCAGCAAGACATGATAACTCAAAGCAAAATGTACTCATAAAGAACAAAGATAGGGCGGAAAATTTCAAAATATAGAACTAACAATTGAATGTTATATTGTCTGAATAACAGGACGATCTTCACACCATCTAACAAGCGTGCCCCCCATTTTATAGATCAACCATCCAGTCACAAGCTTATGACTGCTGCAATCTAGTTAGCAGGCCACCTTTAGTTTCTCCCACATGGAACCAAAATGTAAAAATACATACCGCTTTTGCAAGAGATTCTGTGAGTTCATATTCACGAGCAGTATTCTCTATGATTGGGATCACAAGTTCATCATAATAACCATGCCCTTGGATTCCTTTAATCATCTCCATATGAGTAATCTACAAAAGCACAAGAAGGAAAGAAATTGAAAAGGGAAAAGTAAATTAGAGCAGCCCAAAAGTGATTATGATGTTTCAGATAGAGCAGGCCAATCACCATACATGTTGTGTTTAAGTGATTGGTGAGGTGATGACAGAAGCACAGTGAGACTATGGCAATACCACTTAAACTGTGAAACGGGATGAACTACACCCATGTGGGTTCCCATTTTCAATGGTGAGTAGTAAAAGGCTCTCACAACCAACTCAACTATTGACTCATGATAGTGATTTCCTCATGAGATCCATGACCTATCCAGAGAACCTATTTCAACTAAATTTTTTGTGCATCTCAATCTAATCAATATCAACTTTCATGAAGCATCTCCCCTTGTGGGTTAAGTTCCTATTGGTCTCTATTTAATAAATTCCTCAAGCTACCAACTTAAACGTTTGTCCAAGAGGGTTTTTTTTTTTTTTTTTGGTCGAATCCAAGAGGGTTTACTTTGAACTAATTCGTAGTTAATAACATGCAAAGGATTGCAAAAAATAAAAAATAAAAAAACCTGGAAAACTTACTCTAAATTCTTTTGCTAAGGGATTGATCATGGTTACAAGGCATGATTCCATTCCATGACTGTGGATGACTGCTCCTGGATTGCGCAACTCGAATACCTTGAGGATAAAGGAGGAGGTATGGGTCAGTAACTTCAACAAATATAGATTTTTAAGAAAGTAAGTGTAAAGGGAGGGGGGGAAGTCAAAGTCATTACGGGAATAATCAGAGTGATACTAGCATAATACTCCCAAGAATGCAGTGGCCAGGAAATGATTACTTTGGAAAAAGATAGCATCAAACTTGCAATAAGAATCTTCCACATGTATTCAATCTTGCTTAGTAGAGATGAAGCGACTCCCAAAACCAGACTGTTTCCAAATTTGATTTTCAATTAGACTACTTGTTCTTGATATTCTTTGCTAGGGATCAATACAAACCATATAGATTCCAAAAAGTACTAATTCAAATTGCAACCACATCGAGGGAAAGGTACTGAAGTCTGAGCAGCATTAATTTGGAGAAAGTGTGAGTGAACTCAAAAGAGTATTTGTCAGCTGAGTTAATATATAACTTTTAAAACATTGTATGCTCTTCTCTTTCCTTCATTCCCGAGTAGTTTGAACATCCTATTCATTTCAAAGTTAATACCAAATTGAAGCTTCACATACAGCGGTACAATAAGCCATCTTAGCAGTACAGTGCAAGAGAAAATTGACATGGAAAAACTATGAAGAATCAAGAATAGCAGCGATGGCAGAAAAACAGAAACCCAACTTCACATCCACCCTTATTACGGGATCAGAAATTACCTTCAAGAAAACATCGGCGCTGTCCGTACACTTAGGTGCCTTATTTGGGTAAGGCTTCGGAGACGGTGAAGACAAGGTAGAACCGTCTGCAGACAACACGTACATGTCCTCGGGTTCCATTCTCTCCTTCTGGACTCCTAAAACATAGCACAAAAGACAAATTCAAAAGCTCAGCATAAGAGTCAAAACGCCTAGATGCAATGCAGTAATAGTTAAACTTTCAAACATAATCTTGCAAACTCCACGAAGTTGAATAACTTGGCTATAGGAAAAAAAAAATAGAAAAATGAAATCAACTAACTTGATAAGCACGTATGTCAAAAGCAATTCCAGCATCGACTAGAAAACGGAAGTACTTAATGCACACCAGACCAGAGACTCCGACCAGACAGCTAGCTACATGACTACAGAATAAGACTCGATCAGCACGAGAATAGACTCAATGACAGCCCCTCATGATTGAACAGTAGGGGCAAGGCAACATCATTTAAGCGCGAAAAGAATCGCCTCGTCGCTAGTTCAGAAAGCAACGGAAACGCCGTTCCATTGCGGAAAAGAATCTACGAACCGAAGACAGAAAAACAAGCCTAGAACAACACACGATCGGATTAGATTCAGAGAAGGAATCGAAGCCGATGATCCAACACCGAGCAAGCACGGCGACGGTACCGGAAGGGGACAGGAGGATGAGCTGGTGAGGCCGCGGGACGGAGTCGTCGTGGACCCTCATGGCGATGCTGCCGCCCGTCCCGTACATCCACCCGAGGGTGTAGAAGTGGCGGCAGAGCTCCGACATCAGGCTCCTGGTGTCCTTCACCGCCTGGCTCTCCAGGTACGCCTGAGAAGCAGTCGCCACTCCCCCGCCGCCGTTCTCCGGCGTCGCCGTCGCGGCGGCCATCTGGTCCGTTAGAGAGAGAGAGAGAGATGGCTGAGCTTAGAGTGGAGGGCTGCGTTGCAGAGTAGACTTCGTCTTGCCTTTGCAAAGGAGGAGAATAGAGAGAGAAAAAATGGTTTTTGATTCTCCAGGTGAGCGTGTAATATTAATTTGGATTTTTGCCTTTCTTATTAATTTTAATTTCGATTTTTTGGTGGATCGCATATTAAAATACCTGGTTCCTGGGGACTGGAGTGCAAAAACAGCACATTAATAAATGAAATGTCATGAAATGGAGGCGGGGCGTGGTGCTGCAGGCATGTCTTGCCCTTTTTTTTTTTAATTTCTTTTTTCCGAGATAGATAATCAACTGAGTATAAAAAAAACATGAAGGAGCTGAAACATCGAAAGTTAAGGGGGAAATTATTTTAATTAGTTTTTATGAATGTCATAACACAATAATACGACTTGAATATAAAATCATTAAAAAAAAAGGGTCAAAGAACCCCGTCTACTTTTTATAATGGGCTTGAGTTGGTTTAACCAGGGCCCAAACTGGTCCATAACTCCTCCCCCGTTGACTTTGACCTCGGGGAGCATGGGTTTGGTCAAAGCGGGCCCGTCGGAAGATCCAACGGTCGTAGCTCGTCGTGACATCCTGGAACTCTTCAAGCCCAGCCTCGACGAACGGTTTTTGAACAAGAGAGAAACTTCATTGTTGCCGCTATTGGCGAGAAAAGAGAAGGGAAAGAGATCAACCTCTTCCTTTCAAAATTAAGTGTACCATGGGGATCGTGGCATGGATTATCGTATTGATATGAATGAGTCATCTTTTTCCCGGAGGTAAATCTTTGCCCGCTACGGCAAGAAGATGGCGAGTCGCGAATTCTATCTCAGTAGAGCCCCGGTGCAGTTATCGAGATTCGCCATGCGTCGGCATAGTCTCGACTTATTATAAAAAAAAAAATTCAATGCATGACCCAATGGTAAAGCACCCATTTTGTGGTGTAGGGGCACAGGTTTGATCCCTAGCCCTACACCCTTTTTTTTTTTTTTTTTTCATTTTGCAATTTCTCTCCGTTTTGTTCATAATTCTTATATTTGTTCATCTTTTGCGTACTTTTAGGCTGCGCATGACAACGATTCTGTGCCCGGGAACAGATTCTGCTCAGAAATGATTCTTTTTGATTCTGTGCCCTGAATTGATTCTGAGCATTTTAAGGCGTTTGTTAACGGCCCAAAATTCCATCCCTGGAATAGAAAAAGAACAGAAATGCGTTTGGTAACGCCACAAAATTTCTTTTTATTAATAATATTTTTAAATATTTTAATATTTCTTTCTTTTTTTCTTTTCCTCCTTCTTGGCCATAGCCTGCTCGTTGACCATGACCGGTAAAATATTTTTTTTATTAAAAATATTTTTATTAAAAATATTTTTTCTTTTTTTTGGCCATGGCCTGGTCGTCGGCCATGACTGTAAAATATTTTTTTATTAATAATATTTTTATTAAAATATTTTTATTAAAAATATATATTTTTATTTTTTTTGGCCATGGCCTGGTTGCCGGCCATGGCCGATAAAATATTTTTTTTATTAATAATATTTTTATTAAAAATATACATTTTTATTTTTTTGGGCCATGGCCTGGTCGCCGGCCATGGCAGGTAAAATATTTTTTTTATTAATAATATTTTTTTATTAAAAATATACATTTTTATTTTTTGGCCTGCCGGCCATGGCCGGTAAAATATTTTTTTTATTAATAATATTTTTTATTAAAAATATACATTTTTATTTTTTTGGGCCATGGCCTGGTCGCCGGCCATGGCAGGTAAAATATTTTTTTTATTAATAATATTTTTTATTAAAAATATATATATATTTTTTTTCCATGGCCTGGTCGCCGGCCATGGATAGTAAAATATATTTTTTATTAAAAATATATTTTTTTCTTTTTTTTTGCCATGGCCTGATCCCCGGCCATGGCTTGTAAAATATTTTTTTTATTAATAAATTTTTTTATTAAAAATATACATTTTTATTTTTTTTTTGGCCATGGCCGGTAAAATATTTTTTTTATTAAAAATATATATTTTTTCTTTTTTTGCCATGGCCTGGTCACCGGTCATGGCAGGTAAAATATTTTTTTTATTAATAAATTTTTTTATTAATAATTTTTATTAAAAATATATTTTTTCTTTTTTATGGCCATGGCCTGGTCGCTGGCCATGGCCGGTAAAATATTTTTTATTAATAATATTTTTTTCTCGTCAGATCCGGCGAGGGCGGTCCTCGGGCCGGACATTAGAAGCTAAATTAAAAACCAAGAAAAGGAAGAAGAAAAAAAAATTGATTCTCAAAATTGTTCCCAGAATCAAGAAGCTACTTTTTTTTTATTCTTGATTCTGCTCCAAAACTGATTCTGGGAACAATTTTTGACAAAATTGTGCCCATAATCAAAAAATTAAACAAACGCATTTCTGTTCCCAAACTGATTCTAGGAACAAAAGAACATAATCAAACACTGTTTGGCAAGTCCTCGTTTAATTTACAAAAAAAAAAATTGCACTTTTATTTATCTTTACCTCTCGAGCTATCTTTCTATCATAAAAATTTAAATTGCTTATTATTTCTTTTCTACCCATTTGTGTGTCTATTTATTAGCTTAAAGTTTCTTTTTCACCTTAAATTTATCTCAATTCATCCTTTGTATAATAAAACTCAAGTATAATTAATTGCTACACGTTTCTCATGCCTTACGTGTTATTTTATTTTTCCTTATCAATCGCTCCAAGTGTCCCTTTATAAGGCTTAAAGTTTCTTCTTCACTTTAATTTTATTTTTCGTTAATCCTTAAAAACATACTTATAATCAAATTTAAGAATAATCAAAGTGTCGTACCTTAGACGTTACCACCGGATGTTATAGTGCTAACATTTTTTCAAACCACTCATTAATTGCAATTTTGAATGAGAAACGTAAAAATGACATCGCATTCGTTATCTTTTTTTTATATATATTTTGAACGTTGCTTGCTATTTTTTAAAAAAAATCAAAACTATTGAAAATATCGAAATTACGATGGAATACGAAATGTCACACGTCTCCAGTCCACACAGCCACTCTGGTACGGTTTTCTAGTGGTTTTTCATTTGCGAGGTCCGGGTCGTTCTTGTTTTTTTTTTTTTTGTTTGGTTAAACTGGTTTGTTCTTGTTTAACTCTACGCGTTTTACGTAATGATAATACGGGATAAAGCATGCACATGCACAGTGTACGTGCATGGGAGGCGATGGATGGCTAAGCCACTGTTCGAGGAAATTCAAACTCCTCTGAATCCGTACGGCTTTCTTTTACGTACGCATCCAGGAAAACACCAAATGAAATGAAACGTGGGAGAGAAACAGATCAAGCCTTGCCGACAAGTGATGAATGAACAGAAGGCCGATGCAGGTGTTTCGAATGACTTTTGCATTCAGCCGACACGTGGCAAATTAGTTCCAGTGCGTGCTCAGCTCCCTCTCTTTCTTCGTGCAGAGTGTGAAAAAAGCAACGAATGGCTTAGTTATATACCAAGAAAGAGGTGAGTGGTGACTGCCCACGTCTTGCCTTTGATTTCGAAAAGAACAATTCGTCACGGCATGCACGACAATCTGCATCGCAGAAGTACATCACGAAGCTTTCGATCCCATAGGGCGAATCCGTTTGTGACCATAGAGGACGTGAACAGAGGAGTAAAAGGTCTGGAGGATATACGAGCCGGGCCTCCATGAAAGCTCTGAAAATTGTCCACCTCTCTACTTTATTCACCAATCGTATTTTGTTGCAAACAAAAAAGTTACCATGTCGGCCCCAATTCAATCGGTCAATCGAAAGTATTAATGAGATACAGGACTGCAATAGGTAGGATCCATCAATGGTTGGAGTGGGAGGGTCCCCCTCACCACCCTCATGCACTGTCATTGGAAAATTCCACGCAAATTTCACGTTCTAAATCGGCAATATGACCCATGACTTGCCATGTGAAGACGGGGGACTATGCCAGCGGATTCATATTCGAGAAGATTATTTGCGCTGCTGTAAATTAGATAAAATTGGATCATGGTACAATTGGTTAAGGAAAGGATGTAGCAATTTATGAGCTGTCCATACTGGATTCAAGCCCATTTGAATTAATAAGTTAAAAACACGTGTCGATTGACCAGTGTCGAAATCTTGCCCTCTTTTCAAATCGCAACTAATTTGATTTTTTGTAGCTGAAGAGAAACTTATACTATGTTTAACGCTCCATTATTTCATATAAAATAAATTGTGACAACCAATACCACATCGATACTTGATAGCAATGCACTGATCATAAGATTGATGGATGAACTCGATATTGCGAGAATATATCCGTGCTTTTAAACCCCCGCTTAAAGTACTTGGACCCAACCCTCAAAATAGTATTCAATAGCAACTTTTGATTTGGGGATCCATCTCTAAGAATTTACACATTCATAGCCTCTCAGATAGGACCTTATAATGTCCTAAGCTTGCCTCATTACTACAACCACAGTAACAATGTAATTGAATTAGCAAATCGCATGTATGACCTAGGTCGTATGTAAGGTCATTTAGCCCGACTCTCCCAGAAACTTATATCTGGGAAAATAACATGATTTCTAATGCATGACGAACTAAGAAGTAAGTAACTGGGGAAAGAAATTTTGATCTTCTGACGGAGAACAGGTGCAAATCGAAACCAGAAACCAAGACACACACGATGATTATTCAAGATATTTGCAAGTACAGTAAACTCGTACTCAACATGATAGTAACCGCCGCCACAGATAAGCTTGTAGGAGTTATAGTCCATGCAGATGAAGGTGCCGGTGCTGGGGCACTCGCCGGAGATATTCCCGGTGGAGATTGTGGCGTCGGCCATGATGGAGGTGGAGATACCGGCGGTGTGGGAGACCAAGCTGGAGGTTGACCCCAAGGTGCCGGAGCTGACGAAGGTGGAGTAGCGGTCGGAGGCACGGCCGCGGGAGAAGGAGAGGTTGGCGACCACGCAGGCGGCACGGTGTGAGCAGGTGAAGGCGCTGAACTTGGAGGTTTAGTGGCAGGGTACGGTGAGGTCGGAGGCACCGCCGCGGGAGAAGGAGAGGTTGGCGACCATGAAGGCGGCGATGTTGGGGGTTTGGCAGCAGGAGGTGGTGAAGTGGGCGCAGCCGTAGGCGGCCGCGCTGGTGGCCAGGCCGTGGGTGGGGTCAACGGGGGCAAGGTAGGGGGCAGTGTGGGAGTTGCGGTTGGCGACCATGAAGGCGGCGATGTTGGGGATTTGGCAGCAGGAGGTGGTGAAGTGGGTGCCGCAGCAGGCGGCCATGCTGGTGGCCGGGCCACGGGTGGTGTCGACGGGGGCAAGGTGGGGGGCAGTGTGGGAGTTGCAGTTGGCGGCCATGAAGGCGGCGATGTTGGGGGTTTGGCAGCAGGAGGTGGTGAAGTGGGAGCCGCCGCAGGCGGCCACGCTGGTGGCCAGGCCGCGGGTGGTGTCGACGGGGGCAAGGTGGGGGGCAGCGTGGGAGTTGCGGTTGGTGGAGCAGGCCATGATGGCGGCGTGGCCGGGGCTGGCCATCCGGGAGGCGGAGCAGGCCATGATGGCGGCATGGCCGGGGCTGGCCAACTGGGAGGCGGTCTTATGGCCAACTGGGATGCAAAGAAATAATGACAAGGTGATCAGTAGTCCTCGCATTCTTGTCCGAAGTTCTTGATGATTCTTGTACTTTTTTTTCTCTCTCGAAATAATCATTATACCTTTAGAACGCACCATCAATATGTAAGTACCGTAACTTTAATGTTTAAAGACAGTATTGTAAAGGTTTACACCTTTAAGCAATCAATGCAAATAAAACATTATCCTCATTTTAAAGGACTGCGACATTTGGCGGAGATTCGGAACATTTCGTCACGAGTACTTTAAAGTGGTTGGAAACATTTAATTATCCCAGTCTTTTAAATTTTTTGGCATTTTTATAAAGAATGGCAACTTATTGCTGTAACCAAATGCAAGTTGTCATTTTAACATTGTTGTGCATGCACAAAACAAAAACGTTTGCTAGTTACAAGCTGATATGTCGATAAATAGGGACGGATTTAGAATTTTGTCTTAGTGGGGGAAAAATATGATGCTGTCTACAAAAAAGTAAAAAGAGTAGAGTGTATATGTCTTAGTATCTGAACTATTGTCCCGATGCTTAAAAAGCCTACTAGAATCAACGTTTGGTCGATTTGTTTATATATCGTAACTACATATTCATGATGTTTGAATTTGCTTTTCAATCTTTGTATATTAATTTTGCGGGGGCAAATCAATAGAAAAAATGTTCGATTCCATTCTCTTGCGAGATTTAAGGGGCGGCAAAAGGCCGAAATAGTGGAGCACAGCTTGAAAAGCTTTCGAAAGCTTCAGCCATTTTTCTAGACTTTGGGAAAGGCGAGTGGAGGCCAGAGGACCGCTAGATACAATGGAGATTCGTCCCCGCCAATAATTGCAACATTTCAATGAGTGGGTTGTATTCAAAATCTAATAAGATGGTACCACATTCCTTTTAGAAATCAATCTTTGGCATTCCTAGCATCATTGTATAAATTGTACAGTCCGTCTTCACCTGTTTTATTAAACAAGCAGACTTCACAGTCAATTGCTTCTTCATGAAATGATGGTTTCATCTCATGTCATGTGGTAGTTTAGGAAGTTCAGTCCCTATAACCCAAGCGAGGGAAAAGTCTTAAAAAGTCCTAAACCTTTGCATTAGTGCCAATTTAGTCCTAAACCTTTTTTGGTGCCAATTCAGTCCTAAACCTTTTGCATTGGTGCCAATTTAGTCCTAAACCTTTTTTGGTGCCAATTAAGTCCTAAACCTTTTAAATTGATGCCAATTCAGTCCTAAACCTTTTATTTTTGTGCCAATTTAGTCCTTCCGGCTAATTTAGACCGGAATTTGCCTACGTGGGCCTTGCCGGCCGGCGGCCGTCACCGCGCGACGCGTGGCGCCGACGTGGACAACTTTAATATTTTTAAATATTTTTTGAATTTTATTTTTTTTCCTTTTTTTTCCACTTTTTTTTTGGTTGTCTTCCTCCTTCCTCGGCCGGTCGCCGGTCCGGCGAGCTCAGCAGCGGCGAGCTCGAGCTCGCCGGCCACGCGAGGGCGGCCTCGCCGGCGGGCGAGCCTCGCCTTGGTCGAGCGAGGCTCGAGCCCTCGCCGGAGGCCGCGGCGAGGTCGAGCGTCGACCTCGCCGGATCCGGCGAGGTCGAGCCTCGCCCGACCAAGGCAAGGCTCGAGCCCTCGCCGGAGGCCGCGGCGAGGGCTAGCCTCGCCATGGTCGGGCGAGGCTCGACCTCGCCGGATCGCGAGGTCGAGCCTCGCCCGACCAAGGCAAGGCTCGAGCCCTCGCCGGAGGCCGCGGCGAGGCGAGCCTCGCCATGGTCGGGCGAGGCCCGACCTCGCCGGATCTGCGAGGTCGAGCGTCGACCTCGCCGGATCCGGCGAGGTCGAGCCTCGCCCGCCAAGGCAAGGCTCGAGCCCTCGCCGGGAGGCGAGCCGCGGCGAGGCGAGCCTCGCCTTGGTCGGGCGAGGCTCCGAGCCTCGCCCGACCAAGCGAGGCTCGCCCTCGCCGCGGCCTCCGGCGAGGCTCGAGCCTCGCCCGACCAAGGCGAGGCTCGCCCTCGCCGGTGGCCGGCGAGCTCGAGCTCGCCGGCCTCAGCCTACGGCCGGTCGCCGGACCGCGGCCGGCCGGGAAGGAGGAAGACAACCAAAAAAAAAGTGGAAAAAAACGGAAAAAAATAAAAATTCAAAAAATATTTAAAAAATATTAAAGTTGTCCATGTCGGCGCCACGTCAGGCTCAGTGGCCGTGCCGGCCGGCAAGGCCACGTAGGCAAATCCGGTCTAAATTGGCGGAAGGACTAAATTAGCACAAAAATAAAAGGTTTAGGACTGAATTGGCACCAATTTAAAAGGTTTAGGACTTAATTGGCACCAAAAAAGGTTTAGGACTAAATTGGCACCAATGCAAAAGGTTTAGGACTGAATTGACCAAAAAAGTTTAGACTAATAATGCACTAATGCAAAGGTTTAGACTTTTTGGCACTTTTCCCCGAAGCGAGCTAACCCGCTATCTGAATCTGTTTCAATCATTCTGACCTGTCGATAGGTGTCCCAGGGCGCTCGGAAAGGTTACTTAAGAAGGCGAAACTTCATTATCAATACGTTGAAAATTGGAACTCTAGTAGCATATTGCAAGATCGAGGTCTTAGATGCTCATAAACCTCTTCCATGCTCGTAAGCATCAAGGAGGTTTGAACCGATCTCCTTTGAGAGCAATGCGCTTGCCCCTCCGCAATGGAAACAGGACAATGCACGCCTTATGCTTGCAGAATGGTGCATTTGGAAACTGATGATAACTTGAAAGAAAGCAAGTTGCTATTTGATCAAAAAGCATTTGGGGTCACGCCAGTTACCCATTTACTTGAAATGACATTCCAAGTGCGATGAAACAAGCAGCTGTATCTCATACACTTGCCTCTCATTACAAAGATAAAAACCGATGTCACTCGGTCATTGTCAACCTAACTATAATCTATTGCCTGAGAGGATCTTCATCCTGCAGAAAGCACAAAAAAGTTGCAGTTAAGAGTTTTACCAATTAAAAAAATTTACCAACAACTAGCATGTATATCTCGCTTTTGCAGTTCGATGATGTTGACAGGAATGCCGTGGCATTACTGAAACATGGATGCGAGTTTTATTGGTGAAAGGTGTGAATGACATTAGTGCTACTGACCGAAAACTTATTATTCCAAATTGCTTGGGCTAGCATGTGGAGATATTTCCTGGATCAGTTTTAGTTTGCGGTGACACAAATGCTCCCTTTGGATTGAGAGATACCTACTTCATGTCCATTAGTGGCTATGCTCTGTTTTCCATGTATGAAAATAAGTAAGGACATGTGTATACATTCCTTGATATGCTAGGTCTACCGGCTACATAGGGTTTTCTTTGTCAGGATACACAATAAGGGTCAACATGCAGTTGACCTGCTATGATGATGGGAACAAAAAAACGCACCACACGTCTGATCCATAACCAATTATGGGAGTGAAATAACATGAAAATCGATGAGCCATTTACCAATACGAGATTCAGGAAAACTACGCCAAATTCTGCCATCAGATCTCCATGAATGAATGGATTGTTTTGAACCCGTGATTTTCTGGAAGAGGTCCATTTCCAGGCCGGACAGAGACAATCACCTGAAGGCCTACACGCATTGATCAAGATTCAATGTCAGCATGCTGAAATGCACAGTAATGTTCTGAGAAAACAGACTTGAAACAAACGGTTGCAAATATTGTCTGGAGGATGGAAAACAGGGGTAGTCACATAAGGTTGAGATTAAGATTTAAGCAATTTTCTGATCGTGTTCAATGTGACTAGACATGTAGATGAGGAACGTATAAATGCATATGTTCCGATTCTCCATGTATATTAACTACAGTTTAATTAAAGACAAGCCAAAGTACATCATAACTAACTCTTTCTTTCTTTTTTTTTTTTTTGGAGCTGGGATTGAGGACAGAATAAAGCCAATGTAATTCAAAGAGCTATTTTTGCTCATAAGCTGAGAGTTTTTGATGGTCACACACACTAAATATATATTCTCTTTAGTATGCACTGAATAACATGGAGATAGAGTAATTCGGTTTCAACTGAAAAAACTCATCAACACTCTGCATGATTAAGGATGAAGCCATTTCGTCATTACAAAGCTAATACAAAGACTTCTCTTGAGAGCCAGGAAACACCGAGAGTGTTTCAGTGACTCAAGTGTGGTTGTAATCTCTGTCGTATCGCTTAAAAAGTGAAATCCTATACTGCTCTCCCATGGGATAGGTCCCACCAACCGAACTACGTAAATCCAGTTAGAGGTCTATAGTTGGGCATCCCCTATAACTCAATTGGGTATTTTGTTAAGTATCTGCACATGGAAACTTTTAAAAATACCAGTACCAGTTAAGTCAATATGATGGGTGAAATGTCCTTGGGAGTCTATAGCCACTTTTCTACCACGAATTTAAACTTATAAGACCGACTTTTAGACACCTTAAGCATTCAAAAGATTCAAAAGGAAGCCGTGCACCACAGACCAGAGCAAATGCACAGAAAGAGTTGAATAGATGATGTCTCAATGGACATATACCTGCATTCTTTGCAGCAACAGCTTCTTGATGGACATCAGTCAGAAATAATATCTCTGATGGCTTATCAACTCCTAGTGACTCCGCTATCTCGACATAACTATTTGTTTCTTTTTTGTTCCTACACACGAAAGATATAAGCTATAAAATAAATCTCCAGTACCAGAGTAGTTCAAAAGCTCTGACTCAAAGTCTGGCAAAGAAAATTCAACCAAATAAGAACAAGATTAAAGAAAGGAAATCAGGAAATTAGGTAAGATCTTTACCCCACTGTTGTGTCAAAAAATCCATAAAGATACTTCCTCAGATCTCCATGATTTGTATTCCCAAATAAGAGTCTTTGTGCTAATCTGCTGCCACTAGAATATATGTATACCTGTTGCACAATAATTAGCTGCTGTTAACGCTGTAAATGACATCAGTACAGCTGACATGTATAACCATTTCCATTTTCATGCAATCGACGGAGAGGAAAGAAGAAAATCCCATTTAACTGAGCAACAAAAATCATCTGTTGCTGCACAAAAAAAAAAAAATTAAAGAAACATGTTGAGGGAAGAAAGCATCAGCTAATGTTTTCATTTAGGACGAGTACGGAATCAAAGGATAACACAGAGCGGCAAAAGAAAAGGATGAAAAATGTAAGAGGAACAGACAGCAAAATCAAAGTTACCTTTATGCCCAGGGCATTCCATTTTTCAAGAGCCACTGGTACATCCTCAAATACTTCGCCCTTCAATTCCTGATTCTGAAACCCAGTTCGCCATATGTGACCCTGCATGATACAAAATAAGCCTGTCTTGCTCACCTATACTTCTCAACAACATTACACCAAACACAATTTGATATCAGCCTACGCTTACTTGCAATTGTTTCAAGGCAGTGATCTTGCGATCAGCTTTTATCATTGCTTCGATGTTAGCAACCAAAGCCGCTATCACTTTCTCTTTCCCTACTTCATCTGGAGGAATGGGTAAGGCCCCAGGAACATCTTTTGCCAAATCATCTTCGACCTGTAAATAGATATACCCAAATCTAGAACATCGAGGAATCAATATAGCATGTCTTCTAGCAACATTAGGATACATTGCTCCATAGTTGAAGGAAATTTGCATTAGTGTAACCTTTGAGTTGTCCTCTTTATAGCATATACTAGTTAGCTCCAACTAATCATGCACGATAAATGGTCTCAACCATTACAAGTGTGGAAATTTGACAGTTCCATTACTAAAGCACAGCATAAAGTTACCTGGATCCGTATCAATTTGATGTCATCTTGAGTTTCTAAAGTATCAAATGCCGCAGACAAATGCCTCGCAACATTATCCCGTGCATATGGAAAGAGAACATCAGTCACGAATGTTATTGGAGTAGTGGTTCCTTCAATGTCCAGAAGAATGCAGCTCTGCAACCAGACAAATTAGGCAAGAAAAAGAATTAACTGACCTGGAATACCGAACATCTAAAGTTTCTTTAAGTTTGCGAGTCAAAAGGGCACTTTCATCAAGATCAAGACAGTATATGCTGCACATCGTGATTCACAATCAGTGATATTTATCTATGGGAAAAGGGGAGTGAATTCAGAAATATACTGGAAGTGGCTTCATTTGAAGACTAGATCCGATTATTCCAGCTGTCCCGCCATCAGCTAACGTGCCTTTGCCATATTGAAGAGGGCCATGATTTGGAGACGACCAATCCAAACCCATTTGATTAAGTTTGATTGCAGCATCAAAGAGATAACTGTAACATTCAGCCTGAAAAAATAATGGCATGAATAAAAGAGAATTAAAACAGTCGACAAGGGAAGAGGAACAAGAGTAATGCTGAAATAGGGAATCCTTTACAAGGAATCCACAAAAGCTGTCAACACAAAGCATCTGTTTCAGCACATGATCAGAACTTATCATTGGGAAAAGTGGAGATCTGGATACATTGAGGTAATGGGAATAGTTTCTCCAGGCATAACTAGAAGTTTAGAACTTCTGCAAGCCTTGTGACGAATATTCTTTCAACGTAAAATGCGGAATTCCTTTTGATGTCAAATTCACAACCTTCTTTTTCATATAGAAACAAGTAAAGTTCTAGACAACACTCTGACCAATTCAAATCCTGACGTGGAAAACACAAACCTGTGTTTTAGCACTGATCCATGAGTCTCCCCATGAATATATACCGTGGTTCCGAAGAAGTACAGCTGTCGATCTTGGGTATGCTTCTATCTGAAAAAAAGCGTCACTCAATCCAGCAATTTAATGTAAATATGATTAAGAAGCATATACTACTAAGAACAATCATCCTCTATAGCCATCCGCTGTTTTGCAAGCATTCTAGCACTCCACTAGACAGACTCCTGGAAGATCTAGATAAGCCTCCAGCAAGAAATGATAACTCAAAGCAAAAAGTACTCATAAAGAACAAAGATGGGGTGGAAAATTTCAAAATATAGAATTAACAATTGAATGTTATATTGTCTGAATAACAGGACGATCTTCACACCATCTAACAAGCGTGCCCCCCCATTTTATAGATCAACCATCCAGTCACAAGCTTATGACTGCTGGAATCTAGTTAGCAGAACACCTTTAGTTTCTCCCACATGGAACCAAAATGTAAAAATACATACCGCTTTTGCAAGAGATTCTGTGAGTTCATATTCACGAGCAGTTTTCTCTATGATTGGGATCACAAGTTCATCATAATAACCATGCCCTTGGATTCCTTTAATCATCTCCATATGAGTAATCTACAAAAGCACAAGAAGGAAAGAAATTGAAAAGGGAAAAGTAAATTAGAGCAGCCCAAAAGTGATTATGATGTTTCAGATAGAGCAGGCCAATCACCATACATGTTGTGTTTAAGTGATTGGTGAGGTGATGACAGAAGCACAGTGAGACTATGGCAATACCACTTAAACTGTGAAACGGGATGAACTACACCCATGTGGGTTCCCATTTTCAATGGTGAGTAGTAAAAGGCTCTCACAACCAACTCAACTATTGACTCATGATAGTGATTTCTTCATGAGATCAATGACCTATCCGGAGAACCTATTTCAACTAAATTTTTTGTGCATCTCAATCTAATCAATATCGACTTTCACGAAGCATCTCCCCTTGTGGGTTAAGTTCCTATTGGTCTCTATTTAATAAATTCCTCAAGCTACCAACTTAAATGTTTGTCCAAGAGAGTTTTTTTTTTTTTTTTGGTCGAATCCAAGAGGGTTTACTTTGAACTAATTCGTAGTTAATAACATGCAAAGGATTGCAAAAAATAAAAAATAAAAAAAAACCTGGAAAACTTACTCTAAATTCTTTTGCTAAGGGATTGATCATGGTTACAAGGCATGATTCCATTCCGTGACTGTGGATGACTGCTCCTGGATTGCGCAACTCGAATACCTTGAGGATAAAGGAGGAGGTATGGGTCAGTAACTTCAACAAATATAGATTTTTAAGAAAGTACGTGTAAAGGGAGGGGGGGAAGTCAAAGTCATTACGGGAATATTCAGAGTGATACTAGCATAATACTCCCAAGAATGCAGTGGCCAGGAAATGATTACTTTGGAAAATGATAGCATCAAACTTGCAATAAGAATCTGCCACATGTATTCAATCTTGCTTAGTAGAGATGAAGCGACTCCCAAAACCAGACTGTTTTCAAATTTGATTTTCAATTAGACTACTTGTTCCTGATATTCTTTGGTAGGGATCAATACAAACCATATAGATTCCAAAAAGTACTAATTCAAATTGCAACCACATCAAGGGAAAGGTACTGAAGTCTGAGCAGCATTAATTTGGAGAAAGTGTGAGTGAACTCAAAAGAGTATTTGTCAGCTGAGTTAATATATAACTGTTAAAACATTGTATGCTCTTCTCCTTTCCCTCATTCCCGAGTAGTTTGAACATCCTATGCATTTCAAAGTCAATACCAAATTGAAGCTCCACATACAGCGATACAATAAGCCATCTTAGCAGCACAGTGCAAGAGAAAATTGACATGGAAAAACTATACAGAATCAAGATCACCAGCGATGGCAGAAAAACAGAAACCCAACTTCACATCCACCCTTATTATGGGATCAGAAATTACCTTCAAGAAAACATCGGTGCTGCCCGTACACTTAGGTGCCTTATTTGGGTAAGGCTTCGGAGACGGTGAAGACAAGGTAGAACCGTCTGCAGACAACACGTACAAGTCCTTGGGTTCCATTCTCTCCTTCTGGACTCCTAAAACATAGCACAAAAGACAAATTCAAAAGCTCAGCATAAGAGCCAAAACGCCTAGATGCAATGCAGTAATAGTTAAACTTTCAAACATAATCTTGCAAACTCCACGAAGTTGAATAACTTGGCTATAGAAAAAAAAACAAAGAGAGAAAAAAGAAATCAACTAACTTGATCAGCACGTATGTCAAAAGCAATTCCAGCATCGAATAGAAAACGGAAGTACTTAATGCACACCAGACCAGAGACTTCGACCAGACAGCTAGCTACATGACTACAGAATAAGACTCGATCAGCACGAGAATCGACTCAATGACAGCCCCTCATGATTGAACAGTAGGGGCAACATCATTTAGGCGCGAAAAGAATCGCCTCGTCGCTAGTTCAGAAAACTACCAAAACGCCGTTCCATTGCAGAAAAGAATCTACGAACCGAAGACTGAAAAGCAAGCCTAGAACAACACACGATCGGATTAGATTCAGAGAAGGAATCGAAGCCGATGATCGAACACCGAGGAAGCACGGCGACGGTACCGGAAGGGGACATGAGGATGAGCTGGTGAGGCCGCGGGACGGAGTCGTCGTGGACCCTCATGGCGATGCTGCCGTCCGTCCCGTACATCCACCCGAGGGTGTAGAAGTGGCGGCAGAGCTCCGACATCAGGCTCCTGGTGTCCTTCACCGCCTGGCTCTCCAGGTATGCCTGAGAAGCAGTCGCCACTCCCCCGCCGCCGTTCTCCGGCGTCGCCGTCGCGGCGGCCATCTGGTCCGTTTTAGAGAGAGAGAGAAATGGCGATTCTGAGCTTAAAGCGGAGGGCTGCGTTGCAGAGCAGCCTTTGTCTTGCCTTTGCGAAGGATAAGAGAGAGAGAAAAAACGGTACGGCTGTCTTTCACGTACGCATCCAGGAAAACACCAAATGAAATGAAATGTGGGAGAGAAACAGATCAAGCCTTGCCGACAAGTGATGAATGAACAGAAGGCCGATGCAGGTGTTTCGAATGGCTTTTGCATTCAGCCGACACGTGGCAAATTACGTCACGCGATGCACGACAATCTGCATCGCAGAAGTACATCACGAAGCTTTCGATCCCATAGGGCGAATCCGTTTGTGACCATAGAGGACGTGAACAGAGGAGTGAAAGGTCCGGAGGATATACGAGCCGGGCCTCCATGAAAGCTCTGAAAATTGTCCACCTCTCCACTTTATTCACCAATGGTATTTTGTTGCAAACAAAAAAGTTACCTTGTCGGCCCCAATTCAATCGGTCAATCGTGGGTATTAATGAGATACAGGACTGCAATAGGTAGGATCCATCAATGGTTGGAGTGGGAGGGTCCCCCTCACCACCCTCATGCACTGTCATTGGAAAATTCCACGCAAATTTCACGTTCTAAATCGGCAATATGACCCATGACTTGCCATGTGAAGACGGGGGACTATGCCAGCGGATTCATATTCGAGAAGATTATTTGCGCTGCTGTAAATTAGATAAAATTGGATCATGGTACAATTGGTTAAGGAAAGGATGTAGCAATTTATGAGCTGTCCATACTGGATTCAAGCCCATTTGGATTAATAAGTTAAAAACACGTGTCGGTTGACCAGTGTCGAAATCTTGCCCTCTTTTCAAATTGCAACTGATTTGATTCTTTGAAGCTGAAGAGAAACTTATACTGTGTTTAACGCTCCATTATTTCATATAAGATTGATGGATGAACTCGATATTGCGAGAATATATCCGTGCTTTTAAACCCCCGCTTAAAGTACTTGGACCCAACCCTCAAAATAGTATTCAATAGCAACTTTTGATTTGGGGATCCATCTCTAAGAATTTACACATTCATAGCCTCTCATATAGGACCTTATAATGTCCTAAGCTTGCCTCATTATTACAACCACAGTAACAATGTAATTGAATTAGCAAATCGCATGTATGACCTAGGTCGTATGTAAGGTCATTTAGCCCGACTCTCCAAGAAACTTATATCTGGGAAAATAACATGATTTCTAATGCATGACGAACTAAGAAGTAAGTAACTGGGGAAAGAAATTTTGATCTTCTGACGGAGAACAGGTGCAAATCGAAACCAGAAACCAAGACACACACGATGATTATTCAAGATATTTACAAGTACAGTAAACTCGTACTCAACATGATAGTAACCGCCGCCACAGATAAGCTTGTAGGAGTTATAGTCCATGCAGATGAAGGTGCCGGTGCTGGGGCACTCGCCGGCGATATTCCCGGTGGAGATTGTGGCGTCAGCCATGATGGAGGTGGAGATATTGGCGACGTGGGAGACCAAGCTGGAGGTTGACCCCAAGGTGCCGGAGCTGACGAAGGCGGAGTAGCGGTTGGAGGCACGGCCATGGGAGAAGGAGAGGTTGGTGACCACGCAGGCGGCACGGTGTGAGCAGGTGAAGGCGCTGAACTTGGAGGTTTAGTGGCAGGGTATGGTGAGGTCGGAGGCATCGCCGCGGGAGAAGGAGAGGTTGGCGACCATGAAGGCGGCGATGTTGGGGGTTTGGCAGCAGGAGGTGGTGAAGTGGGCGCTGCCGTAGGCGACCGCGCTGGTGGCCGGGCCACGGGTGGTGTCGACGGGGGCAGGGTGGGGGGCAGTGTGGGAGTTGCGGTTGGCGACCGTGAAGGCGGTGATGTTGGGGGTTTGGCAGCAGGAGGTGGTGAAGTGGGCGCCGCTGCAGGCGGCCACGCTGGTGGCCGGGCCACGGGTGGTGTCGACGGGGGCAAGGTGGGGGGCAGTGTGGGAGTTGCAGTTGGCGGCCATGAAGGCGGCGATGTTGGGGGTTTGGCAGCAGGAGGTGGTGAAGTGGGCGCCGCCGCAGGCGGCCACGCTGGTGGCCGGGCCACGGGTGGTGTCGACGGGGGCAAGGTGGGGGGCAGTGTGGGAGTTGCGGTTGGCGGAGCAGGCCATGATGGCGGCGTGGCCGGGCTGGCTTGGGAGGTGGAGCCATCTGGGAGGTGGAGCAGGCCATGATGGCGGCGTGGCGGGGGCTGGCCATCCGGGAGGCGGAGCAGGCCATGATGGCGGCATGGCCGGGGCTGGCCAACTGGGAGGCGGTCTTATGGCCAACACGACAACAACCAACTTTTGGCCCTTCTCACAGTTGCCTGGTTTGCCACTGATGAAAAAGAAAGGACCAGATTGGTAAAACCTAAACTCGGAAGCCCCATCTTCCCACTTATACACTGGGTTTTTGGTGTTGCACTTGTAGAAGTCATCCTTGACGACTAGCAAGACGGAGTCGTCTCCCTTCTTGTACTTAAAAGCTACACAAATCCCAAACAAAGAAAACAAAACAAAGTAATTTACTGATGAAAAAGGAAGCTGAAACTAGTACTACATCATCAGTCACACGGGGTGAACTAAGCTTAATAAGGCACGATCGATCACACAAATTCTTCTTTACAGAGGCTAAGCTTAACAAGGCACGATCGATCACACAAATTCTTCTTGACAAATTCTTCTCACGAACGGCAAGTGCAGATAAGGATTTTCCTTTCATAACACTTGCAGAGAATTTGCTCGTGTCAGACATGTACTGACCATTGCTTATGAGACTCCTCTCCTCACAATTGCTTTGAAACCGACATTAAGAATTGTTGAAGGAAAGGACTAATAAAAAAGGGAAGAAAACAATGAAAACAACTTACAGATGGTGTCGTTGACCTGGAACCTGGTCCTCTCTGCCCAGTGCATGTAACTCTCAGAAGGGTCGACCACCCAGCCATCTTTACCTCCGACATCGAACTTGTTACCTTGAGAACGAGCGAGACAAGCGAAGAAAACAGCCAGGAAGAAGCAGAAACACGCACGGGCCGCCATTGGCGGGACTCGAGACATCGAGAGGGGGTGTGAAAACCCTAAGAAAAACCGCGAATCCCCACGATACGCAAGATCAGTGAATATATACGGAAACAGAGATCAGAGGATAATGCTGAAGATCTTGCCAAAAAGGTAGGCCTCTTGGGAAACGTCGATATGTGGGAGATTTCTTGGAACAAAGAGGGAAACGATCAAGAAAATAATGGGGGGTGATGACGGAAACCGAAGGTGGTCGGCGTTCGGAATATAAAGGATTTTGCCAAAGAGGTTACCGTTGGCCAAATGAGGCAAAACTCCGGTCTGCAACATAAGGTAAGTGCAATAAATCAGCTGTCTGTCCTTCCTTTGTCATTCCTCAAGACGCTCCCCCCCTTCCCCTAATTCATAGTGGCTCAACGGAAAATTTATGTTTTTATTATTGCAAAGGGGGACTAAATAACATACCAAATGGTTGCGGTTTAGGGGTTTTCATAGCTGAATAAAGGTAGAGTACAGCAACAATTTTGCCAACCCATTTTCTTCATTTGCACAACGCGCATCAGACGCTTGTCGGACCAAATTATAAGGATTTGAACGTACTAAATGGGAAGATCTTGAAATTCCATGTTGTATTAGCAGAGGAGAATATTTGTCCGGTTAACAACTTTATCGTATATTCGTTGCTCGATACAATAAAGAGGGAGAAGTTCTTCTTACACAAATCTTTTTAAGAACAATCGAGATCAAGATTCTCAGTAAGATGTATTCACTCACCGTGATGTGCGAGTTCAAATCCTTCATGTTTCTCATTTTAAAAAAAGAACCTTTTCCAATGCGTCATAAGAAACTAATGTTTCTAAATAAAAGGATTGTGGGCCGATTTAAAATCAACATCAAACTCGCCTCAAGAAGCAACAAAGACCCACTGAAGGCAATTCCATCCAAGGTCGTTGTAATAAGACGGGGGAGACTATCGCGACTCGATGAGATTAGTCGATGCGCTGCGCTCAAAAAAGGTTCCAAAATATCCAAACTTTTGCTGCGAATTATTAAACATGAAAGAGGGATATCGATCCATCATGATCTTAACTGTGCATGGGTGAACAGTGCATCGAGTTCTATTCTTCCCCGACCAACGAGATCACGCGATAATATGTCGAATGTTTCAAACGACTGATTAGGCAAGAGTCATTACCGACGGTTTGCGCACCAGTTCGTAACTGAAGAGTCAGCATTTACTCAAAGGTTGTTCCCGCTTTGACTCTCAGTAAATGATTCAAGAGCCTTTCAATAAGAGACAATGCAGCTGGTAAAAAAGGGAGTGTCGGGTCTCCAGATCCTATTACCTTGCGAGGTCAGCCCGTCCCTGTAAATGCGGTGGCCAAAGGCAAAAAACATCGCATGCATTGATTACGTAATTAACATGCTAAATTCGGACAAGAACAGTGCTGAGAAAGAAACGAGCGTGTGGTGGTGGTGGCGGCCACGAGGGTACAGATTGGTTTTTGTCCAGTAAATGGTCTTGTCACATCATGAGGAAGTAACGTATGGCCGGTTGATGATTCATGCAATGTTTTTGATTGTGTTCCCATTCATATTTTGGGCCGTTTGGTTCGGCTTTTCAAATGCTATTTGGGGGAATACAAATACCTTTAGGTGAAAGTCACTTGGGAAAATGTAAGTGGTGTTTGGTAAAAAAAGATTTGTAAAGCTACTTTGGCCTAAGTAGTATTTGGTTAAATTTTTTTTGCAAAGGGCTTTGACAATTTTTATTTTTAATATTCCGGTTTTGCCCCTATACTGTTCATCTTCTTCACCGGCGAGGGTGGCCGGCAAAGGGCCAACGAGGGCGGATCTGGGTTCGTGCAACCCAGGCGACGGCGCTTGGGCGGTCGCCTGACCCCAAGCGGCCGTCGCCTGAGTTGGGCGACCTCGCTAGCATTTGGAATGCTGAAACCTATTTTTTCCTTCCCAAATTGTCCTCACTCAAATTTCAATATTCCGGTTTGCCCTTATTCTTCGTTCATCTTCCTCCCGCTGCGAGGCGGTCGAGCCGAAGGCGGGCCCGTGGGCGGATCTGGCGCGGCGAGGCCGGTGAGGGCCAGCCGGGGTCGCCCAACCCGGGCGACGGCCGCCTAGGGGTCCGGCGGCGCCCGCAGCGCCGTCGCTTGGGTCGCACGAACCCAAGTGTGTCGCCCGGGTCGCACGACCTCGGGGTGATCTCAGTGGCCGTCGCTGAGGTCGCGCGACCCAGGCGATACCGCTTGGGTTCGTGCGACCCGAGCGACGGCGCTGAGGCGATCGCCCGACCCCAGGCGGCCGTCGCCTGGGTTGGGCGACCTCGCTGGCCCCTCACCGGTCCTTCGCCGCCCTCGCCGGCCAGTCCGCCTTCGCCGACCACCCTTGCAGTGAGGAAGATGAACAGTAACAGGGGCAAAACCGGAATATTGAAATTTGAGTGAGGACAATTTGGAAAGGAAAAAATAGGTTTCAGCATTCCAAATGCTAGCTTTCGGGTTTTCGAATCCGAAAAGCCGAACCAAACGGTTTAGCATTTGGCCAAGGGGCTTTCGAGGCCGAAAGCCCCTTCCAAATGCTGAACCAAACGGGCCCTTTGTACCATTGCTAAAGTTTTACATAGTGCTGTGAAATCGAAATCGAGATTCTTTTCGTTCTCTTTAGTATAATTCGTGCCGGAAATAGTTAAGTTTAGGTTCAATACTTCAAAAAGTCACAAACTAATGTCACGTGGCATGTCTACCCAGATTAATTTTCATCTCACAAGATATTTCAAGTGGTACCCTAAATACATTTATCACAAACCATTATAGGTAACCCATCACACATTCATCCCAAACTAATTTTTGTCTCGTAAAAAATCTCAAACTGATTACCCTAATCCAAATGTGCCCTTCATTAAAATGCATACATATCAATAAATGTGAATTTTCATTCTCCGTATTGGATCTATCATTCTCCATCCTGGAGTCATCTGTCACGTATATCGGCACATATGCATTTTAATCGGATAACGAAAAAAATGCTAACTAAAGGTAAATTCAAATTAAAAGTACTCAGTTTAATATTTTTTGTAAAACGAAAATTAGCTTGGAACAAATGTGTCATAGGTGGGATAAATGTGTAATACGACACCCAATTTGGGTTTTTTTAATTATTTTTTGTCGGACAAAATTTAATTTGGGATAATTGGGTTATGGGAATACCAATTTGAATTTTTTTGCGAGATGAAAATTAATTTTATGTCCATCACGAGAAACCGATTTAGAACTTTAAATAGTATTAACTCGAGTTTATGATCGCTGCCGACCATAAATATGATCGATGGGACAGAGCAAAGCAAGCAAGTAGAGCAGATTGTCGGCAGCAATGCAACGCACCCCCAAAGAAAAGGAAAAGCAGAGATCGTGATTCGGACCGCGAGCCCAAAAGGAGAACAAAAAACCAGACCAACAACCATGAAATGGGTTGGGCTAACTTGATGATGAAACGTCCTGATGGTTTGCCGGGGAAAAGTGTTAAAAAAGTCCTAAATTTTTTGCATTTATACCAATTGAGTCTTAAACCTTTTTTTGGTATTAATTCAGTTCTAAATCTTTTTCATTGATGCCAATTTAGTCCTAAACCATTTTTTTGTGTCAATTCAGTCCTAAACTTTTTGTATTAGTGTCAATTCAGTCCTTCCAATCAATTTTAGCCGGATTTTGCTGACGTGGACGCCGGTGACCGGCGCTGACGTGAACAACTTTTAATGATATTTAAATTTTATTTTTATTTTTTTCCTCCCCTCCTCCTTCCTCCCTCCAGTAGGTCGTCGGACCGAAGAACCGGCCGAGACCAAAGGCCGGTGAGGACACAGGCGCAACCTCACTGGCCACTGGCGAGGCTCGCCCTCGCCGGCGACGGCGAAGGTGAGCCTCGCCATGGCTGGGTGAGGTTGGACCTCGCCAGATCCGACGGGGTTGGGCCTCGCCTAGTCGTCGGTGAGGCTCGAGCCCTCGCCGGAGGCCTTCGTTGCGACCTCCGGCGACGGCTCGAGCCTCATCGGCAGCTAGGCGAGGCCCAACCCCACCGGATCTGACAAGGTCGAGCCTCGCCGGCCTCTGGCCTCTGGCCGGTCCTCGCTGAAGGAAGGAGGGAGGGAAAAAAAGAAAAGAAGTAAACAAAAATTATTAAAAGTTGTCCACGTCAGCGTCGGTGACCGGCCGGCATCCACGTCAGCAAAATCCGGCCAAAATTGACCGGAAAGACTGAATTGGCACAAAGACAAAAAGGTTTAGGACTAAATTGGCACCAATGCAAAAGGTTTAAGACTAAATTGACACAAATGCAAAATGTTTAGGACTAAATTGACATCAAAAAAAGGTTTATGACTAAATTGGCACCAATGCAAAAGATTTTGGACTTTTATGACACTTTTCGCAGTTTTGCCGTGTGGGCAAATATCAATTTCGTTTACTAAACATTGTAGCTCGATACTGACTGACCGGTGCTCATCCTCACAGCAACATGGAGCGCCCGAGAAACTGCAAGCAGCGCAGCTCTCCCAGTTCGAAACACTCCTGTGTTTGGATCGGAGTCTTTGCGATTTAGGGATAACTACACGGGCTTAACTGTGAATGTAGTAGGTCTAACTATAGTCATGCTGTACTGTTACCTCTGTCAAACATCCTCAGCGTTAGAGCAACACTCCAGCTATTCGGATACTGAACAATCGTTTGGAAAAGCAAGAGGAAACCTGCTTCTTCTGGACTCGGTAGGACACAGTTCTGTATCCATTTCACTTCTCTCCGTTGGAGATGGAGTTACCATCAAGAGAGATTGTAGCCTAAAAATAGTCCAGGATTTTCAACGAGGTCGATGTTTCTCGAATCCGAGCGATGAGTTTCGGTGGGGGAATGCAACCTGTGAAAGAGATGATAGACCAGGAACCAGTTCATGTGTACTTGGTCTTTTATTAAGTAGGAGGCAAAGTTGAAACAAAATTCCTGAGATGAGCTCTTAGATCAAAAGTTTTCTCTCCTGTCTACCGATACAATTTATCTCGAATAACATTCTTGGCAAACAGACGGTTAGCTTGACTTATGTTCAGGCTCAGAACCCAATATTTATAGCTCTCCTAGTAATGAACTGACGGTAAGCGTTCCTTTTTGGCAGGTCGTTTTCTGTAGCCAGAGCAATCCCACTCAAGAATTCTCTGGGCCAACTTTTATGACACAAATCATTCCGCAGATCCGGCGACATTTCAACAGATCACTGAGCACTAATCATGAAGAAATCATGAAATCGAGGAAAAAGAACCTTTATTTTCCACATCGAGTTGAGTCATCAGACGGGGGCATTATACAGCTTCAACATAATACGCTACACACATTTGCTTGTGCATGCTTACAGCCTTGGAGCAACATAATGCAGAGAAGAGGCCCATCAAGAAGATGGAAAAAAAGAAAAAAACAGAAGAAGCACAAGAACATATGGGTTTTTTCACATTATGAGTGTCAATCCTTCTTCTCTGCATCCTCTTTCTTCCCTTCCTTGGCTGCTGCAGCTTTGTTCACTTCCTTAACTTTGGCTTTGCCACTCTTGGACTTCATGAAGCAGAAGCAAGAGCAACAAGGGCACTGAAACAAGAACTTCATCGGCCTCTTGCTTCACTTTCACCTTCCTCTCTTTTGTCTAAACAAAACTGCACCAAGAACACAAATGACCAGTGTGCTTGTGGTATACTAAAAGGCTCAGCCTTTTTGTTCTCTTTCTATCATCTTTCTCATCTAATAATGTTGCTAGGTCTGTTTTTTCCTCTCTCTCTCTCTCTCTCTCTCTCTCTCTCTCTCTCTCTCTCGATGGTGCCCATTGGATTCCACTTTCAATCGCTTTCAAGAAAGAAAGTTGCCTGCCTAATAATGCCAGCTTGGAAAGAGGAGAAGAGGGGTGGTGGGTCAATCCATGATCAAAACTTTGATGTTATCTTCTCTTTTCACATGGTTTTCTTTTCCGATGAATTGACAATTTTCCCCAATCTTTACGGTCATTTCCCACATTTACATTGAGAAATGTCCTTATGTGGTATTCATTCATCTATCTCGCTTCTAATTCTGAAGGAATCACATCATGTAGGCTTCTCTTTGTAGGTATGGGCTCAGGGAATTCTAAGGTTGGATAGGAGGGACCCCTTCTTTCATTCCCTTCGTCTCACGTGAAAGAATCCTCAGCTGGCAAGCAATAAGGGTCAAAGCATTACGAGCAATCTGTAGATGACGACACGGGCGATCCCGACTCCTAATTTTCCTCTAGAGGGGTTTTTGGTGCAATAAACTGTCAGATGCGCACTTATAGAATCCGCTGCTGAAGATATGGTCTTGCAAACGAAAGAGATTGTATGGTAACTATAATTGGGTGTGTGAATCAAAGACATGATGGTGAGATTGGTGAGATAACCATGGATTATTTGGCAGATTTAGTCCGCAAATTTTCAAACAACCTCCGGCACTAAAACGAGTCGAATATACTTCTAGCCGTAGCCGAGGATGATTTGTCTTCTTTTCTACATGATTGTTTGACCTTCTGCCCATGAGCCCTACAGTAAAAGTTCGGTGAATCATGCGATCATCTTCTAGTCTTTGCCTACCCACTGCCACTACAGGAGTAATAAAAGCATGGAGTGGTTAGGAGAGAACAGGAGGGATTAGGAGAAAGGATTTAAAAAAAAACATGATTATGCTTAGATGGAGGGAAAGAGACAAAGGGAAGGGATAATCTCTCCACATATATGAAAGCATATAGTGGTTAGGAGAGATCAGGAGGGATTAGGAGAAAGGATTTAAAAAAACATGATTATGCTTAGATGGAGGGAAAGAGACAAAGGGAAGGGATAATCTCTCCACATATATGAAAGGATTTGTACATTACTTAACTAAAAAGACACTTATGTCATAATACAGTTTTTTCCATCCATTTTCCCTCCCTAGCATCCAATCATTATCATAATTCAGTCCCTTCAAAACCCTTTATTTCTTTTGTCTCTCGTAATTACCTAAATCCCATCTTTTTCTTCCTAATCACTCCATCCAAATTGAGCGTAAACAATACAAGGAGACTTCCATTAATGTAGGATACAACGTTTTAAAACATGGAAGGAAGTATGAGTGCTAATTAATGTCCAGTAAAAGCAATCTTACACTTCACAGCTTGCCTTCCACGAATGAGATATCTTTTTAGAGTCGTATACAAAATATATAAGGCACCCTAGGAGAACATCTTCGTCACGGGACACTATCCAGAACAAATTCTGTCGAGGTGGAGACCGGGAGGTGCAATTTGTGGTGGAGAAACTTACAAGGCTGGATGGATAAATGATAATGAAATCCCAAATGAATTCTCTTCTGCTGCTCGTTTCCCCATCGCTCGGTACTACTTCCATCGATTCGCCTTCCGATATAGTCATACTAGCGAGCTGATCTATCTTTGGGGAGAACAAAATATTTTTGCAACTTCATCATTTATAAAGCCTTGTAAGCTTTCCCCACGCAAATTGCACCTTCGGCTCTCCTTCCTCGACAGAATTTGTTATGGAAAAGTGCCCCGAAAAAAAGATAGTCTCCAAGGGTGCTGTGTACATTCCATACGTCACGCTAGATCGATATCTTATTCACTGTATCCAATTCATATTTACACACACAATCCACGCCTCTATATTTCTCCCCAGGGATCAACACTTACAGTCGAGCAGACGGTTTAACCAGTTCAGGTACTTTGCGGTAGTCATATACCCCAATACCTCGTTTTCTTCCCAGGCGGCCTGCATCGACATACTGCACTAGCAAAGGACACGGGGCGTATTTACTATCTCCGAATCCTGCTTGGAGTACTCTCATTATTGACAAGCAGACATCCAACCCGATAAAATCCGCGAGCTCCAGAGGACCCATCGGATGGTTTGTCCCGAGCTTCATTCCAGCATCAATGTCCTCCTTTGTCGCGACCCCAGTGTAGAGAGTGTGAAATGCTTCGTTTATCATTGGCATCAGGATCCTGTTAACAATGAAGCCAGAGTAATCCTGCGAGCATATAACCGTCTTCCCGAATCTGCGAGTCGAAAAGTCATTATACATCCGCATATACAAGAGGAACAAAAAACTACTTCCAGCAACGAGTTGATAGAGTTTGCAAAACAACCTTTGAGCAAGGGCCTTTGTGATGGCAAATGTCTCATCCGATGTGTCTGCACCCCGAATAATCTCGACCAATTTCATCAAAGGTGGAGGATTCATGAAGTGCATGCCGATGACCTGAATGAAACAGATGTTGCTTTCATCTAATCAGAATACGAACGATCTCGAATAATGTTTCGGCAGCAAACCCAGCAGCAGCAAGACGCTAATGAAGATCCTGTGCAGTCACAATCAAGCGCAAACGTGTGTTCTGTTTCTGTTCTGATACAATGGACCAAGAAAACAAAGCCCAACAGGCAAGCACCCACAGCGGTCTACTTCTGGTATCGACCAACATCGATGGCATAATTTATGTGTAAACATGATGGCGAAGCGATTCTCAGTTACATGGCATCAAATTTAAGTCAAATAATGCGAACAGCTTAGAGAGGGCGGGAAAAAAGGGGGAAAGAATTCGATGAGATGTGAAACCAACCTGACGGGGTCTCGTCGTGGCGGACGCCAAGCGAGTGATGGAGATTGAGCTCGTGTTAGACGCCAGGACAGCAGAGGGTTTGACGATCTTGTCCAGATCACGGAACAGCTTCTTCTTGACATCCTCGGATTCCACGATAGCCTCTATGACAAAATCGCTCGACCGGAGCTCTTCCAAGCTCGAGGTGCAGTGGAGGGAGCGCAGAGCACCATCGCCGTCCGCCTGGTCGCAGAAACAACAGATGGGTACGACATTAACTCGCCACGCTAAGCACGTTTTCTTGATCGAATTACGCGACAGTACGGCTCATAACTCCCCACGCCAAGCACGTTTTCTTGATCGAATCACGCGACAGTACGGCTCAGGAGGGCTGACCCAGATGCGGCTGGCGCCAGCACAGGGGCGACACGAACGCAATTCAAAAGCGCGATGGAGGATGAGAGAAGAGATTGGGGAACCTGAGAGAGGGCGCGTTTGGAGACCAAGCGGCGAATCGAAGCGGCGATGTAGTCGGCGGATCGAGCGAGGGCTTGAGCGTCCTGGTCCAAGAGCCAGACTTGGAAGCCGTGGACGACGCCGAGCTGAGCGATCCCGGAGCCCATTTGGCCACCGCCCACCACGCCGATGGTCTTCATCGTCTCCGCCATTTTCACTACTCCATCGCCCGCACCCTTTCCCCCTTATCTCCCCACACACACACACTAACACTACAAACACACGCTAATTGCCAAAACCCAAAATGCTGGGAGCACAGCAGTCCGGATTCCTTTTTGGCCCAATCAAATCAAAAGCCCGAGTCCGTCAATATATCCAATTAAATCACCTTCATTCAAAAGTATAAATTAATGAATTATGAATCAACTAAAATATAACACTGCACTAAATCTCTGATGTGAAACTTCTTTAACAAAATTCACTCGTGCATCTCAACACAAAAGAGGTAAGAGTTCCCGGTTTGCTCGATGGGCTTTTTGTCTAGATGCTCATGGATTTGGGCTTCTATCAATATTAATGGCCTCATTCCCTTAAAAAGCACAAAGGTCTTGTCCCGATTCTGGCCCGAATTATCTGTTGTCTCGTATAAAAAGTCATCAATTTTCACTCTATACCCAAACTCGGGCCATTAATTTTCCGTCCGATTTTACCGTTAAAAGCGTGACGTGTCATCCAAGTGTTATTTTCTTTTTCAACGTCACCTCGGTTGATATTTTCTTGTATTCTTTTTCCCTTTGTTTTTCTTCCTTTCACTTCCGCCATTGACAACATCTGTGAATGACTCATTGTTTGTCGTCTTCTTCGCATGAACTTCCTCGGCCATAGCTTCACTGGCGCTCACCCATTGCCGTCCAGATGTCTAATGCTACGCCATGACCTCCGATTACCCTTCCCTGATAGTTGGCGATCATCAGAATCCCTTCCGGCAAGCTCAGCCGAGACCCTCATTTTGGGTTCCGATTTTTTAAGCTTCAAGGAGTCGTTTTTATCGGCGTTGGCAATGCCACATAGGCTGACCGGCGTCCACGACAGCAATATCCGGCCAAAATTAGCCGAAAGGACTGAATTGGCACAAAGACAAAAGGTTTATGACTAAATTGACACTAATACAAAAGATTTAGAACTTTTCTAACACTTTTCTCCCGTTTCAACCCACGACTAGGCCCCAATTCCCTAAGCAAGAATAGCTAAAAGGCCCTCAATTCCACCAACACCAAGTTCCGCTACTACAACAACTACAACCTCTCACAACCGCGTCACTTTTGCCAGAGCTGTCGTCGCTATTGGACCAAAGGCAACACTCTCCGCAACATCTCGGCGGTGGCAGCACCCGGAAGGCCACCAAACGGGGTGAGTTGATCGCAAGGCTAAGTTGATGGTGATTTCGCAATTCAAAAGTGGAATCAAGAAGAAGAATGGAAAAAAAGAAAAAAAAGAAGAAAAAATATATAATTCTAATTTGGAATATGAAAATGAGGTGGCATTGACACATCATACGTTTAACGGTTAATTGATAGAAAGCTGACGAGGCCAAATTTGGGTACGAAGTAAAAGTTAATGATTTGGTATGAAATATGGGAAAAGTGCCAAAAAAGTCCTAAACCTTTTGCATTAGTGCCAATTTAAAAAAGTTCGGGCAGAATTAGAACTAAAACTAAAGTCGATGTTTTCTAAAGGAATTGGCCCCAAAATATATGGGTATGTAACTGGACTCATTGAGGGAAAACTAAGGCAATTTTGATGAACATTCAGAACATCCAATAGAGTTCATCAACAAAATATACTATTAATAATCGGGAAAATTACCAAAAAAGTCATAAATCTTTTGCAATTGTGCCAATTCACTCCATTCGGCCACTTTTGACCGGCCTGCACTGACGTGGACGCCGGCCTGCGCCGGCGTACTGACGTGGCAATATTTTAATAATTTTTTTTTTTTTGAATTTATTTTTTTCTCTTTCTTCTTTTTCCCTATCTTCTTCCCCACGGCGCCTCGCCATCGCCGGGCGAGCTCGACCTCGCCATGGCCAGGGCGAGGTCGAGCTCGCCCAGCGATGGCGAGGCTCGACCTCGCCCGGCAACGGCAAGGCCGCCCAGATCTGGCGAGACCTCGCCTGGCAATGGCGACGGCGACGGCGAGGCTCGCCCTTGCCAGTGCCGGCGAGGGCCAACCTCGCCCATGGCCGGCGAGGTGGAACTCGCCGGCCTTAGCCTCTCGCCGGTCACCGAACCGGCGACCGGGGAAGAAGATAGGGGAAAAAAAAAGAAAGAGAAAAAAATAATAAAAAATTCGAAAAATAATAAAATATTATTAAAATATTGCCACGTCGGCATCCACGTCAGCGCCGGCCGGCCAAAAGTGGCCGGATGGACTGAATTGGCCCAAAAAAAAGGTTTAGGACTGAATTGGCACAATTGCAAAAGGTTTAAGACTTTTTTGGTAATTTTCCCATTAATAATCTATTAGTGTACTAACATGACTTTTCTAGTATATATTTTATAGCAGAAATAAGTTGAAAGCATTGTTTGCATCACAATTAAATATATCTCATTGAAACTCTATTGCAATTTCTAAATGATATCTCATGCCTCTTTAAATTTAGACTCGGTTTGTTTCACGGAAAATAACTTTCAGGAAAAAGATTTCTTGAATTTACGGCGTTTGGTCCATAGAAATAAACTAGTCAAGAAAAACATTTTCGATCAATCGAAAAAACACCTCCAAAAATAGAAAGGTCACCTAGTCCCAACATATTCTCCTCGGTGAACTCCTCCACCTTCTTCTTCTCGCCTGTGCACTTATCATTTCTCTCCCGCTCCAGAGTTCCTCCTCCGCCTCTCAACCCTCCAAACTTCCTCCCCCTCTTTCCCACCACCTGCGATGGTTGCGTCACCGCAGCCTGAGAAACAGCTTGCGGTTGCAAATGCTCCGGCAACACTACACTCTCTCTCTCTCTCTGGCTGTCGCCTTCACTCCCTGTAAAATATAATTGCCTCACCAATCTCTTTTCTATGTTACTCTTCGGAAAGCACAATTCTTTCCCCTCCCTTGCTCTTCAATCCTCTCTCTTTTCCACTATCCTAGGGTTTACCTCCGTTTGCTCAAATACGTACCATCACCATTCATGTCAGTTTGGAAAAAAATAAAAGGAAAATAAAAAAAAAATTAGGAAAAAAAATTATAAAAATTGTGGCCGGAATGATTAAATTGACAAATCGTTAAATTGTTTTGGACTAAATTAGCAAATCAAACGTTTAAGATTAAATTGGCACAATTAGAAGGTTAAGGACTAACATGGCACAAGTACAATAAGTATATGACTTTCTTTTTTTTTAATTTTCCATCTTGTTACGCTATTCTCTTTATTATTTCTCTCGAGAAAATTCATGATGAGATCCATATTTGGAGTGATATATCAAATAAAATCTTAAACCCGTGCGACACATCATTTTGCCGAAATCAGAACGTGCCAATGGATCACAGGACAAGTAGTTAGATGCCAAATTAAACTCATATGACGTCTCTCCATAGACTTGACGTACATCGCCAGCACTCCACATGTATTGTCATGCTGTGCCCCTCGGAATCGGATACGGTGTCTACTTCTTCCATTAAATCTACGGGCATATGTCCACACTGGAAGATGACAAAATGCGACGAAGACAAAGGAAAAAAAGAACATCGTGGAGAATACAATGTCAGTTTCACGAATGAGACCCTGGGGAAAATGAACATTATCATTAGTTCATCCTTCACTTTCGACATGCAGGATTTTTTTAGTACAAGCAGTACCATCCATGCGTCGATCGAATTCTTCCGAGAGAATGAAGTGCGAGGACCACGGCTATGGATAGGGACTCGGTTGGTCGCGTCGAACAGCTGTATCTCTTTTTATCATTCAATGATTCTGTTTCTAACTCGCTCTCTGGGAATCGCTCTCTCGCCATTCGGATGGCATGTTACCGGGTGTTTCCAATCCTTGTTATTGCACATTTAGGAACTTTTCTCTTTTAACATTCGATGATTCTGTTTCTAACTTGCTATCCGGGGAACCACTCTCTCACCGTTCAGATGGCGGGTTGCTGTCTGTTTTCACTCCTTGTTATTGCACATTCAGGAACTTTTCAGGAGAAACATAAGCTTCAAGATGTTGAGCAGACATCATTAACTTGCCTAATCCAACGTCGAATGGTACTCCACATACCAATGATCAGCGAAGAATCCAGTTGTCCGCCCTGAGTTTGACACACTAGAGAGTCGCCCAAAGTTCTTCGGTTGACTGAACCTCTGTGGCCCTCGCGGAATAGAACAAAGGAGGGGAAGGCGAAAAGCCCCTTTTAAGGAGGAAATGAATATGGAAAGCAGGTGTTGCTCGTCCAGTCAAATTTCAGGGGATTAAAAGGCACATCGAGATGCAAAAGTGAAGATGCTTTTTATTGCTGTGAACGGCGTCGCGCCTCAGGTTTCTTCAACATCACAAGGACACGCGTCAAAGCGCCCGCAGCAGCGGCACTTTAGAAATGGCAAAAGCCTGACTTTATGCCTATGTGAACATTGGTGCTTTAATTATCCCCAATGCTGGAGAATCTCTGCAACACAAAGCCTCCATAAGCAAGTTCCCCTTGATCCTTCAGTGCCAATTCAATAAGCGTTAACGAGTACTACCGTCCCTATATCACCCTAGGACAGTACGAAATACAATGGAAGCCCAGGAACTTGTTTTTGAGTGTGTCATGCAGCAGTGTTCAGAAAAGAACTCGTAGCTCACATACATCTAGTATTGTTCATCGTAATCTCCATTGAGGGACTCGTACCTTGACACAAGCAACCGATATTATCGTCCTCTTATCAAAAGTGTGTTGCCAGAAGCAGACAAAAGAATCCTGGAGAAAAGGGGCTTTGGACCAAGATCCAACTCTCAACGTTTGAGAAGGATGTGCACTAACCCATGGAGAGCTAAAATGATAGGCCGTGAAAAAGCAGGGACGCGGAAAAAAATTTATGGGAATTCAAAGTGCTCTGCAGACCCATGCAAGAACTGGTCCTCAAAGGACATGATCAGAAAGGTATATTCGGGATTAAAGGTTTGCCCTTTTTGAATCCCTAACTCTCTTATGCGGGGCTCTCTTTTTCCTTTTCGAATTCGACGGATCGTGTCGATCGGCTTAAGCACGACTGATTCGTTATGACGCCGGGAGGTAATGGTTCGGGTCGTGTTATGCCGTGCTCGATACGATGTTCTTGTGCTTTGATGGTAACCGAACCCACTGAGCGTGAGGACTGAGGATTAGAGTGACCTAAATGTTTTCACAGAGAGCAAAGGTGGGAAAGAAATGGAGAGGCAGAACTGCGCATCCATAATTGAGTAGCAATAAAAAAGAGAGAGCCTACACCGTACGAGAGAGCCCACGTGAATGGGAAAATAATGGAGGACTGGAGTGAACCGCATGCCTACCTGAAAGAGGTGAAACTGTAATACGGCCTGGCCTCCCTCTTCATGTCCTTTAGCTTCACTCCGCGATTGATCTGTCCTTGTCAACTTGAACTCACGCTGAAAGACAAAAGAAAACCCTGAGCTCTGATACCAATCCAACTTAAGAAAGGACAATGACTTCATGAGATGGATCAAAACGAGGGAAAAAGAGAACCCAAAGATTAATCATCCTCTTTGACTGCACCAGCAAAAATAAACCCAAAGAGTTAGCCAAATGTCATAATCCGTATTCATTGTTCGTCTGAGAATTACGGGCGTTTTTTGCGTGTTCAAGAACCAATCAATTTTGATTCGCACGTGGGGCATCAGGTCTGACCATCTGGTGGTGGAGAGCAACGGAATAGGGAGAATCAACCATTCAAATATCACAACCCTTTTGATATTTGCATAGGAAGGACAACTAATGATCCATTATTTCCAGCCAAAAAGATTTGATCACTTCTTAACATGCACACTTGATCCTTGTCATGTCTGTGCACAAATTACACAAGCTAACCTTATTCCAAAGTCACATGCAATCCATTTCAGTACTCAATTCACCTTTCCACCTACTGTACTGACCGGGGAGGAAATTGAGCTAGTGGTCCTAGCACCATTCTCTTTACCTTTCAATGTCTGCCTTTCATTCACTATATAACATGCACCTACAATTCACCCCATCGCATCACAACCCTCGTTGGAACACACTACAGCATCCACCATGATCAATTCCAAGCGTCTCGAAGGGAAGAAAACTTTGGAAGATGTAATCGAAGATGACATGGACGACGATGTAGATGAAGAAGAGGGACAAGGAAACAATGAAGGTGAGCCCTTTTTACCCGATGATGAGAAGAGGAAGAAAGGTCCATATGGGAGAAAGGGGTCAAGCGGTTCTCGCGATGCATCCCCGCCCTGCTGCCAGGCCGAGAGGTGCGGGACCGACCTGACTGAAGCGAAGCGCTACCATCGGCGCCATAAGGTGTGTGAAGTCCATGCAAAAGCGCCGGTGGTGATGGTGGCCGGACTGCGTCAGAGGTTCTGTCAACAATGCAGCAGGTCTGTCAAGGATAGCTCGACCTCAAAATAAATACTCATGTGTCCTCGTATGTACAATCTAAAGTCCAGTCTATTTACCTTCGCCATTTCAAATTTTCATGGGGAATGATGCAGGTTCCATGAGCTAATGGAGTTTGATGAATCAAAGAGGAGTTGCCGCAGGCGTCTCGCCGGACATAACGAGCGGCGCAGGAAGAGCTCTTGCGAGTACTATGGAGAAGGCTCGAGTCGTAGGATGTCGGGTCCCCAGTTGAAGGAAAATCAGTGCAGACCGGCTGATGCAAGAGGAAGAGGAACTGCCATCCCAGGGAATTCAACTTTCAAACACTTCCAGATAAGATGAGGCTTCAATTCCCATTGTCTACATGCTCCCTCTCTTCTGTCACCCTAAGATTACTGTCACCATAACTATCTGTGCTGAAGGCAATGCCTAGGCTATTTAAATAAGGTGACCATTGTGAAGCACCACCGCAGATGTTGGACTGTTCTCTGGGTTAGGTACTGCTCCTGAATCGGCTACTTATTGTATCAGCGTTTTATAATCTGAGTTATCTCTTGGATAAATCATATAAGTGACATGTTTGGTAATTTACTCGGATCTTGATGCACTTCATTACATGAGAAAATGTGGAGACACAAATCGTTGACTGGATGGCAACATTTTTACCTCGAGACAATCTGGTTATGCAATTTATTGTACATGAAAGTGTAAAGCAGACTTCCATAATCACTCCGAAGAAACAAGCAAAAAAGATACATCACAGCCTTACCAACCACATCTAAAGAGAAAACACCTGAAAGAAAAAATGCAAACTAGTGAAATTTCACAACTATGCAGGATATGTCGTCTTTGCTATTCCTACTCAGCGCCTCCTCAGTTAAGTGCTTCGCTGCCGACCGAGCATCCTTTATGTTTCTTATAGAGTCAGCTGCTTCCTGGTTTGACATTACCTGGCATCATTTTAACAGGAATTTCAGACTCATCGTCATACAGGCGAAAAGGCAAATTTAACAACAAGGCTTCACTTTCGCTGCCCATTTCGAAAAACTGCTCAATCTAAATATATCAGAGAAACTTATTTACAGACATAGGCAGGCCCTAACCGTCCATAGTCCATCACTCGCCAAGATGATGAACTCTGTATCATCATCAATCTCCTTGACTGTCACGTCAGGTTCGGAGCTGAGATGTTGCTTCAGGCTTTTGTCACCAAAGGCCCTTGCCACAGCTAGCTGCCCATCGACACGAGGAACGTCTCCTGAAAATTATCAACAAGACAAAGTCACAAAATCCTTATCAGCCTCGAACAGTTTGGGATGACCTGATCAGCCTCGAACTTGGGAGATCTGATGACCTGATCAGCCTCGAACGGTTTTAGCCTTATGTAGAAGGGTCGATACCTGGAAAGTTTGATACAAAACCACCTCTATTCTCGATTCTCTCTCTTTCCGTGCTGGGTTGGTGATCGACCGACAATTGTTCGGCAACGCCATTTTTGCAGATAACTGCCCTGGAATCCCCAACATTTGCTACTACTAGCTTGTGACAATCAATCAGAATTGCTGTAACTGCAGTCGACCCCCCTTTACCCAATTGAGCTGCTTTTCCTAGAATATCACTATCAGTTACGCAATATGCTTTCCTGATTGCTTTCTCTGGCTCCGTCCAGAAGTCAGGCTACCCGCAAGAAACCGGGGAAAAGAAAATGTCAGATATCTATCTCTTCATAACATACAGAAGTCTAAAATTTAAAAGCAAGGTATCGGAAAATCAAGAACCACCTAGGAATAAATGACAGTCAAGTCTTCAGTATATTTGTAATTCGTAATACTTAGTGGAATCTAGCCAAATTCAGATTAATATTCTACATCTAAGTCCACATTTTTCTTAGCGTAACAAGAAACAGGTTCTCTATAATGATGCACCTTATAGTGGAAAAGCAGAGAATACGCCGACGAAGATACATCTTCAGTAAAGATAAAAGATGTTTTTAAGCCAAAATAGCATCCTAACCTCATTTATAATGTTGTCGAAGAGATGTGACCGGAGATAATCAGGCACTTCGCGACTCAAATGGCCATCATATATCGCGAATAAACCGAGTTCATGATCGTCGACTTGCCTAAACTCTGCAACCGCATAATCCTCCATGTCATGGTGCGACTTCCCCTTCACGAGGTGGAAACCATGCGTGATGTGCTTCGAAATCTTGCTCTTCCCCTTTCCGGAGTCGGCCGCGGACGAGCCTAATCCAACCTTTTCCTGCCACGAGACAACAACATTAATCCTTCCATATCTAGCCAGCCCCATAGATTTCAAAATTGCTATAAGAGGAAGGTCGGGTCTCGAACGAAGACCGAACAATCGACGGAAGCACCGGACGGTGGCTCAAGATGGTTGGTTACTCAAGAACCAGACCCCAGACCATAAATTGGGCTTGCGCCACAGACCATGATCGAGAAAATTTAGAAATGACAAGCGAATTCATGCTTTTTTCCAAGACCAAATTCTTCACGGCGAGCGCTTCCAACATAGCAGAAAAGTAGCGTACAGTTTCGCAACAGCCCAACTCCCACATTCTTAGGACCAAAAAGAAAGAAAGAAAGAAGAAAAACTCCCACATTCTTTAATCAAGGAAAACCATGGTTTGTTCTAGCTCGATCCCCTCTCGCTTCCGTTTAGCATTCCTCACGTCGATCGAAATCGTCTTCAACCGTTCCTTTCAACGCACGCTAATCAAGACATTTGGAGCACAAGTCAAGCTCCTAGCTATCCATGTTTTCAACACTCGGCTCGTCCCATCCGTACCGCGCGCGCACCTCGCATTCTCGAAACGGCGGGCCCGAAGCTTCGAGAGGACCCGATCGGATCGGATCGGATCGGATCCGCCTCGCCATCCGAAGTTCCCCCCCAACACCCCGAGATCCAAAAAACCTTCGAAAAGGAGAGGGCCCATCCCACATTTTCCCAAAGCGATCGAAGCGCGATCGCGGACGCCTTTCCCGGGTTCCAGATGTTTCCGAGCACCAAATCCGGGAAACAAAACGGAGCAAGGCGGGAAGCAAGCAAGCACTCGAAGAGAAGAGGGGAGGGGGACGGGACGTACCTTCATCTTGTGGAGGATTTCTCTGCCGGCCATGGCTCCTGGAACGGGGGGAGGAGGGAGCGGCTCCGTATATACCTCGGTCGGTCGATTCTGGATGGGGATCGCGCCGACGCAGAGCAGAGCAGAGAGAGGTGGCGATGGAGGAAGGAGGAAGAGAGATAAGTGTGAACGTGAGAAGGAGACGCGTCGCGTTGACACGACTCGGCGTCGTTACAAGTCAGCCGCGTTTATTTGCGATTTTACTTTTAAAGGGTTAATGATATCGTGAAAAATCCTGTATCGGTAAATCTGCCCACTTCAAGTCGGATATATTTGTAATAAATTTATTTCGAACTAATTTTTTAATCACCACGCACCATTTATCACAAATTTGCTCTCCGTTAAATAAGATTAATATCACGAAAAATCACAGATCAGTGAACCTGTGACAAATGGAGGAGACCCTCGTTCAACTTAACAATTTGATGGTAAAATTTAACAGAAATTAATAAAAAGTAAGTTTGTCGCAGATATACACCAGTTTGAAGTTTTTCGTGGTATTGACCCTGCTTTTAACCTTGTTGCTATTTTCATGGCTTCTAAATTGCTAAGTAAAAAATCAAGAGTTAAAATGGCACTAAATTCACTTGTTTAATTAGGAATGGGTTACAACTATATAGCAAAATAATGTAGAGAAAACCCAACTTCGGAAATTCTTCGTTCCATCCGGCCTCATTTTCGATAGCGTCCGAGCCTCCCCGAGACGGTCGGTGAATCCGCGACATGGGGCGGTAAATTTGTGCATGTATTTTTTGCTACTTCCGCAGAAAAAGCACCCAAAAAGAAAAACATTTTCTTGCAATGAGGAGAGAGTGTAATTGCAGTAATTTACACAAACGGGACCTCTTGCTTTTATGGGACTACAATACTTTTTTCCCTTTTTCCAAAATGCTCAAAATTAGCCAATTTATAAATATTCAAGGATTGCACAGACGCATAAATCAATAATTTCCTCCTTTTTCTTTCGCGTGCTTCGATTTCAGAAAAAGAAAAATTCAATATTCTGTACCTCGAAAACAACCTTACCAAAAAAAGATGACATTTTTAGACATCTTTTTTTTTTTTCCTCTCTTTGCACTTGAACGTGCACAATTTTCTCCGTAATCTGCCAATAATATAGTTTTTTTTATTAATTAGCAATTTATACATTCCTCAATAAGCGGGCCGTGCACTTTTTCTAGTTGTACAATAAGCAAAGGGGGGCCGTTCTATTTTCTTTTCCTTGACGTATGATCTCATTTGCTATGCATGTATCATATGTAAATTTAACATTTTTGAGAAGACTAATCAGATGGATAAATTCTAATAATAAGCACCGATATTTTTACTTTCATTTCTCTTTCTTTATTTTTTAAATCCAATTAATCAATCGCGCACGGTTTAAATCGCATTTTAGGAAACATAATCTAGATTACAAACACTTTTTGTGCATTCATACTACTCAGTAGAACAATCGCAGTCATCAGTCTCATCCATGATATACCTTTTTGTCAAGAACTCGGCAATGATCGATACTGTCAAGATTCACAGGTTCAACACGGGCTCTCTGAATCTGGTGGTGGTGGTCAACTGCTCATTGCATACTTCCAGATGGGCCTATTCTTGTCCATCTGGAAGCTGCATCCACCGAGAATCGATGAATCTTTCAGCCCAGACAAGCTCATCGCTTCTTCATCCAATCGATGAGCCCAATTGCAGGATCAACAGAGTGCCCAACTTGGCCAGATTGTACTGTGCTATCTCTGTTTCATCTGATCAGATGGTATGATTAGAGCAATAAAGGAAGGGAGATTAGGAAATGAATTGGTTGGTGGGGGTGCGGGGGAGATAAAGCAAGAGAAGGCATAATCATCAGCGATGGGCCCCTTTTGAAAGGAACCTAATTGGGAGACAAGGAACTCTTTTTGGGGAGCTGCCCCCTAATCCTTTGTTTAGGATTGTTAATCAGCTTTTGATGGAATTTGCATATATTATGCACTGTTTGATGCGGCTAAAGTTGCCCACTAAAGAGCTCTTTGTCTCCACAAAGCAAGTAAAAGCTCGTGGATCGCATCATTACATGTCCGAGTGAAAGGCGATCGCGACTTAAACATTTTGTATGTTGGATTCGAAACTTTACAAACTTATCTCCCAACGTTCTTTTGCCCCTGTGGCAGCAGGAAGTGCAAGATGTAGGTTTTGTGCAATGTGGTGTTGATCAGACAACTAAGAGCGGGGATGACAGGTAGAACTGACGACCAGCAAGAGTTAGATATCGAGATCTTGACAAGAACTCGTATGCTCTGTCGGACCAACACATACTAGTCTTTACAATGCTCGAATTGTCAAGGCACAGGTGTGATCTCGCCGATCAAACTTCATAAGCCATCACATCAAAGAAATTACTACCAGATCAAGAAGGGTTCAAGATGCAACCCGACAGATTCTCTTGATCTTTTAAGTAAATGAATCAACCCCAGCTCAGCGGGTTTTTCCCTCTCTTTCTCACGAGATGCAAGTTCCTCTTTCGCTTTACTTTAAAGAAAGGAGTATATTTGGGAGACTGTTTCTTCAAGGGAACAAAGGCAAGAGACACCAAGATTAAAGTAGAGCATAGAATAAGAGAATGAAGATCCATCATCATTCAACTGGCCAAAAAGAAAGGTGAGTAGAACATAATTTTAGTTGTTAAATGTGGGATCGAGGGCATATGATCCACTCACTCATAGGCTGAAATTAGCGGCCGCTGTCTTGCTCACCATCATTTGACACACACTTCCTTGTAAGATCCCACATAAGCAAGTATTAGTTATTAAACCTGATTATGTCAAATTAGAGACTGAGCTGCCAAGTAAGAACCTCATGATGTTGACCACCAAGACTCGTCCAGCAACATCTATGCATATGCCACGTGTCCCCTAAAACAGAAGCATCCACTTGTTCAGGAGCTGTTGTATATAAACACACACTCATCGTATGCAGGCAAGCTCCTCTCGGCCAACTCAACTCCGATGGAGATTCACCGGAATCGGAATGGCTCCAGCGACGGGTTCTCATTTCCAAGCACCCCCGAATCCCAGGATCCCGACTTAGAGTTTGAGTTCGGGTGTGCAACCCCGGATTCGCCCTCTGGCGAATCCAACAAGAACTCGCCAGCTGATCATCTCTTCTTCAACGGCAGGCTCTTGCCGCATTCTTTCCCATGCAAAACCATGACCAATGCCGTCGTCCCACGCGCGGCGAGCAGAGCGAGCAGCGTGAGCAGCAGGGACTCAATGTCGCTTACGTCGTCCAGGAGCAACAGCACGAATAGCAGCCGGAGCAGCAGCTGCAGCAGCACGAGGAGGAGCTCTTCTGACAATACCGAGAGAGCCAGATCGCCAGTGTTGATGTACCAAACCAGAATTTCATCCAACAACCCAAGCAATAATGCGAGAGATCAGAGAAGAAGAACTAGTCAATCTGTGGCTGCTCAAGTGTACGGGACGTCTCATAGGTGGCAGTTCATCGCGCCGGTGCCGCCTTTGAGTCGCGAGGGCTCTTGTTCTTCTTCTTCTTCTTCCTCGAGGAGGGGGATGAGGAAATTATGCGAAGGTGTTGTGAGAGAAGAAGTGAAAAGGATTAAGGAAAAGGAAAGGACTAAGACTGGTTTTGGAAAGAAATTGATACGTTCGTTCTTGTTGTCCTGCATGCAGTGCCATGCAATGGAAGTCGAAACCTCTAGGAGAGAAGATGTTTTCAGAGAGTTGTGACCAAGATCAACCTCCAAAATTGGTCCATGGTGTTTCTTTCTTTTCTTCTTTTATTTGGGTTGGTTGTCTCGTCTCCTCTTGATTTGATATAAATTGGCTCTCTCAATTCACATTAATGTAGTTATAACCGTTCCTTGAAATACCCAAAAGAAACAGAAAAAAAAGAAGAAGTGCGGTCCTCTTACTGTGAAACTGGGTATAATCAATCTTCTGTACCCAGACTGCGTAAAAGGGAGCTGATCTTTTCATATCTATGCATAATTCAGTTTGATAACTCTTTAAGGCACATATAAATCGCAAGGCTCTGATACTCGTGTTATCGATTTTTCACAGGCTACATAACCTGTATTTAGTAGTGGAGCTTATTCGGAGGAAGATATTGAGGCCTTGCAAAATGGTTCAATGCCCAATCCGTTGTTGACCGACTGTTTGTGAATCCTACCTGTTCTTTGGCTTGGCATAATCTATTTAGCAAGAGAGACTATGGTGGAAATGGAATGACATAGGATTACAGAATTTAACAAGATTCGACGTATTATTACAGGACTTTTCTATTCTTTTAGCAACGAGAAAGTCTACCTTAAGGTCATATATTAAATTCGTTATCTATATAATCAATTCACTATCTAGATCGAGACGATCTGCATAAAACAGTGAGGGAATTTGTCGTTTCCTCCTGCCTGCAATCCTTTTCTTCACACCGCAAGATGTCATGGAAACGTTACATCGGACCGGTCAAATCAACAAGTTCCTCTCTAACTGGTGTTGCATTGCATTGCATTGAAAATGGACGTAGATAATGGGACACTGATACGAAAAAGACAGGAAGATTATACGGGACAACGGAAAAGGAGAAACGTCATCGGTTGGGAAAGGTCCTTCAACATGGCCCACGGGCAGAGCTTTTCTGATAGCACTCGCACAAACCATTTCCCGTTTCTCAATCGCTAGTACAAAGAACGTCACTAATCTCTCAAACGGCCAAGGAGAAAAACATAAAGGAAGAAGGAAAAGGAGCAAGCCAAAATACGTAGACAGCAGAAAGATGTCACAATCTGTCTCATCTTAAGCTGGGTCAATCCCTCGATCAGTCCCATACATATGATGTGGATTACGAGTGTTCAAAGATGATATGCACCAGAACATCAGAACAACCAACACCATTTCAAACACATAAAACTAATCCGCCCGAAAAAAAAAAACACATAAAACTAAAACTTGCTATCTGAAGCTCACATAGATGATGACAGACGTAAAACTTTTTGCACCAAGCCAAAGACAAAATAGAAGAAGAGCTAAGATGTTCAGGCCAAAGATCAGATAGGATTAAAGAGCAAGAAATGAATGTTGAAGTCTCTAAGGTATTGGTGCTAAAAGCTGGAGACAGCAAAAACTAACCTTAAAAACAGAGAATTCATCACAAGGAAATTAACAAGAATAATTTTATGCCTAGATACATTGTCTCTCCGTCATCTCATCCTAAGGTAGACCCTTCAAAGCTACTCCATGAAGGTCTCCATATCAGGATACATCCCAGGTTCAGGCTGGTGATCCACAGGAGTCGACGAAGAGGACGCCATTCGTGCAGGCAACGTAAAGCTCCTTTTGAATTTGTTCTCCATCTTTCTCGCACTCTCCGCATGACTATCCAAGCTCAGGAACTCATTGGGATTTGTTGCGCCCGAATTTTGCATATTGGAGGCTTCTGGATTGGGGCTCTTCCCCTCCAGAAAAAGAGAGTGGTGGCTTTGGTCCGGCTTGTTTCCTAGACCCTCGGGGTTAAACAATAGCTTCGCATCATCGCTCCGCCCTGTGAGAGCATTAAAGAATGACAACCCATTTGGCCATTTGATGTCGTTGTCGTGTTCCCCCATCATTTCTTCTATCCGAGGAGTTTCGGACGAGTGAGGGAGGAGGAACATGTGGGTTTCGTCTTTCGCTTGAGGAAATCCGAGCCTAGCCGAGTTTTGGAAATGAGGATTAGAGAGCATGGAAGCAGGGGGAACTAGAGGCCTTTGGCCCCAGTTGAAGAGCGGAGGAGGACGGATCGGAATCGTCGACGGCTTTGAAGGAATGGCTGAAGAAGAGGAATTATTTCTGTTTGAAGCGAAAAGCTGGGAGAGATAAAATCCGGATTGGTAGCCAAGGGATTCAAAAGTGTGCCTCATTCGAAGCACAAAGTGGAGGTCCTCGGGTATCTGGCAAAAAGAAATTGTTCCCTCAATGACATTGAACAAACAAATTCACTGCTCATCCGGTTTTCTCAACCAAAGTAAATTATGTCTGCTTTAGCAAAAAAACTAAAAGATAAGATCCAGAGACTGAAAATCCCATTCCAAACTAGTATGTTTAACTTACAATCTTGCAGGAGCCCAGTTGCAGAAGGCCATGGCCAGCTTGTATTACAGCAATGGTCTGGTCAAAATGAGTAGAAGATGAGAAAAGCAAAATCATAGTCATTCAAGATGGTCATATAGATAAATCATATACATCATTGTATGTACAGTTAGACTAGCCAAAGCAATCTGAATGTTCTAACCTGAATGCCTGACTCAAACTGATCAGTCCATTCAGGAGGAAGCTGCAGCAGATAAAAATCGAAATGAAGTTACTACTAATCCTTTTCGAAGGGAAGTAGGATTTCTAATGTCGCCAACATACGATTATGATTGAAATGCGAGTTCACAAATTTGTCACAAGAAAAAACATCAGAGAAGCGCATTGTAGAACATACAGCATCGAAAGAACTTTGCCAGTAATTGGAGATGTTCGGCTCAGACTCGGTAGGTTCTTTGAAGACCCATTTGTGGCACTTATCTGAAGCAACCTTCCCCATCAACCTATTCCAAACAAGCCAAACAAATCAAGAACACCTCCGTAAGATTGCCCCTTCCATTTCCTCTGCAATTTTTGGCTCTCACCCTCCAGAAAAGAAGACACAGAGAGAGAGAGAGAGAGAGAGAGAGAGAGAGAACCAATATTACCAAACACCTACCCAGTACCCACCCTTCTCCGTAATTATACAACTGAATGGACATTTTGCTGAAGGCCTTCCTCACAGGATCCTCTCCGTCCATCTCTTCCAAACACTCCCCTACTCTTCCTCGGCAAAATCCATCTTCCCACATCAACATCCTTCAACCACATAACACACAAATTTCCACAAACCGATCAATCAATCACAGTACATGACCTGGCCTTTGTGTAAAATTCATAGGAACAAACACCCACACCAGTTAAGATTGTTAATCTCTCTGTAGACCCGTCATAAAATGCCATCTAATTTCATGTTATACTTGAACAAACATTTAAGAATCATCAGTAGATTATTTTTTTCCCCCTGCTTTTACCCTGCTTCGGTTTTTCATACCACGGTAGAAATAGAGGGTTATGGTTTTTCGGAAAATCAGAAGAAACAAAACCCCTAACTTCTTACTTTTTTTCTTTTGAACTTGCACCAAAAGAACTGAGAAGCATGAGATGCCTCTAATTTTGTTCTCAACATGCTCTGCCATCTCTGCAACTAGAGAGAGAAACAGAGGGGGAAGAGAGAGAGAGAGAGAAGACTCACAAGCTGCCGTTGTCATCACCAACCTTGCAACCATTTCCACCCCTCACTCTCCTACAATAAATGCAAGGACACCCATTTAAGGAAACAGCTCAGAAACCCAAGCAAGAACCCACCCACAAACCAAAAGACTTGCACAGAGAGAGAGAGAGAGATAGACATACGGACGAGGACGGATGGTCCAGAAGACAGAGTAAGTCCAGTCAGAGTTGAGGCAGACAGTCCTGAGGGCCTCATGAAGTGCCATCATCCCCACAGCTTCTTTACTCCTATCTGTTACTCCTCCTGAGCCCACCATTTTTTCCTCTCTCTCTCTCTCTCTCTCTCCTCTCTCTCTCTCAAGAGACCCTTCCTCTTTTAGCCTTTTCCCCCCCTTCCCCTCAACTCCCTCAGCCTGAGTCTGCACTTTGTTGTTCTATCTTCTTTTCTTGAATGTTGCTTCTCTTCCTTCTCCTCTCCTCTCCTTCTTCTTCGTTTCTTACTTGTACCTCTGCTGCCTCTCTGTTTTTAATTAACCAATAAACAAGACCCTGAGACTGAGAGAGAGATGCCTTGTGTTTGTTGTAAATTTTTATTCTATCCCTCCCTTCCTCCTTTTTAATTGCTTGGCAACTCTGCAAGTGGTTAGCAACCTCAGAAGGAGACTCCGCCCTTTCTTCATCTTCTAACGCACACTCTCTCCGTTTGTCCCTTCTCCCCACCCTTTGTCCCTTGCAATCCGCTTCTTGTAATATTCTGGGAAAGTGAAAATATGCGATGGTTAAAAGGATTAAAAAAAAGCACGAAAACACAGAAACGAAAAGTCTGATGAGGGCAAACTCGATGCTAACTGTAACTATTTAACCCAAGGAAAAACCAGTGGGGTCTCTCTCTCTCTCTCTCTCTCTCTCTCTCTAAAGTGACTAGGAAGCTGTAAAAGGGGGGAGAGAGAGGGGGGAGCCCAAAAGGCCAACCCCACACCTGCCCTCGTTCGGGAAATGTTGGGGGTCCCTTCCTTTCCCTTGGGTGTGTGCACAGGATTTGGTTGGTTCGTCTCTAAAGTCTGACCTAATATCTGCACTGCCCTGTGGCTTTTCATTCCCAGCACTGTATCGTTGGATCAACGAAGAGGTCAAGCCACTATTCAGTATTCAACCACCCTCTCCTCTGTTTCCCCTACCGTCTAAAAGGGAAACTCCTCAGGATTTTCACTGTGATCACCGTCAGGCGTAGAAATCTTTCCCTGACATGTGTCATCAGCCCTATTTCTCCTATAAGCATAATCTCCGCCGGCGAAAAAGCACGAGTGTATTTACGTGTCACGTTACATTAACACGTGAATTAGATAAATTAATCGGAAGTGAAGGATTTCGAAATTTTAAAGTTGACTGAAATTACGTCGTCACACAGGTAATGTGATTGATCGGTGACATTACGTTTTATATGTGATAGTTATGTAAGAAAAACTCTCTTCTTCAATTAGTGACATGGTAGTGTGAAAGCGGTCATGGCTAATAAGAAATTTTTTTGCCATAGTTCTTTTGATGATGCATTCATATAATCTCCTAGCCTAACATTTGCGAATAACAATAAATCCAATTTTATGATCTAACTAAAGACAGATCATCGGCACAGTAATCGCCGATTCGTAAGAAATTCAAACTACTCTCTTTTTTAGATTGCTAAAGAGTCATATGGAGTAAAAAGTACACCGAAACCTTACACATCTTAGGACGCAAAATTCTAGTCATCACGGCGTTTCTTTTGTTGTTTGGACCATAAGAATAGTTTCCCTAACTCTTAGGACAAATGCCTTCACCTTTAGTTCTCGTCACTAGCTACTTGGTTGACTGTCAAGGTCGAGACTCTATGTGCGTGAAAGGAACATTCATCATAAGAATTATTGATCGCTTTTATATCTGTCTTTCATGTGGTTACAACTTTGAATCATGTCATTTGAATATATATTTAGAACATATAAAGCCGCTAGACATTCTTTGTCTAGTTTGCTTCATTTAAGCAAAGTGAATACACGTTAAATGAGATGTCCAAAACCCTACTCGACTCGAGAGATCGAAGTGTAACCTCTATCTTCAGTTGCTCAATTTAAAATGCAAGGGTTCATCTAACCTAACTTGCAAACTCATCAAAACAAGTGCAACCTCAGCTCAAACTCGCGGTCTACAAGACAGAAGAAAGTTGATGAATGATTTCAAAGTCTGTTCTTTTGCTAGCGAACACAAAGATATGGAACCCATCAAGTTCTTGAACTCTATCTGATCAAAGTTGTTGCTCGACATGGTCCATACTCAGCCTATGATCTGACAAGAACCGAGCCAGTTCCGGAGGTACGAGCTTTCGAATAGCTCGCGACTGACTCGACTCGAGCCATCGACATCTTCAATAGGCATAACATGCAGCACACGCAACACCGTTTCAAGAGAGGGGAAAGCAAGATGTTCAACATTTTCGAAGGACCCCCTTTTCTTCTCTGCAATTTTCTTATCTTATGGGTCATTATTATAAGCGAAACGCCACACTGGGGTTTAAACAAGGGAAAAAGGCAGGAGGATAACTGAGAGGATGGGGCTGGCATACAGAATCTTTACCAGTCAAAAGCGAGAAGAGGGGATTCGGAAAGGGAGGTTAGATTTGTTGTGAATATCTTAAGTCATTATGATATTGTAATTAAGATATTGTAATTGTGTCAGTCGCAAGGACAGCAACTTTGGGTTATCAATGTTGAATATTGTGTACGGTCCAACGTGAAAGCCAATGCCTTTTTTTGGGGGCTCTCAATTCCTTTTGCTCACGACAATTCGCGATTGTCAATCTTGCCCTTTCAACGTTTCGGCATCTTCCATTGTCCCAACCTCTCGATGTCATGCTTCTTTTAAGAACCCTCGCCGAGAACACGCTATAGAAATACGATACCTTCACCGATTAGTTAAAACTTACCACCGTTCAAAAATCTAAACGGATGTATTATTAATCAATCATGATGTATTAACTATTTTACACTGCATAAATTCTCCGATATAAGACTTTTTTTAACACAACTCATGAATGATTCTTGACAACTTAATAGGTCGTCCGTGATGGCCGGGAAACAGAAGTATACGCATATTAAGGCCGCTCACGATACCTATGTGTTCATTCATATGAGCAAATGCCAAAAAAATTATGTTTTAAGTTACTTAATTGAGTGCTCACTTTCATTCTATTACCTCTATTCATTTGTATGGTGCTTCATTTTGGCAATAACTTTTCCTATCGTATTGTTATAAATATAAAAGCTTTTCGTTTGTTTCACGGAAAATATTTTTCAATAAGTTATTTTCTAGAAAAATGACAACATTTTTTAGTGTGTGGTTGAAACCTGAAAATGAACTGGAAAATATTTTCAGTTGTTCGATAAGAAAAATCAATTTTCCTAAATTGACATACATTATTCGGACGCTAGTAATTTATGCATAAATAGCCTAGGAACCGAGTACGAGTGTCAAGGTCCTGATTTTGGCCTCAATGGACCCTAAACAGAGCGCCAGGGCATGGGGCACGGGCTCCGGGGTCCTAATCCCAGCCTTGACGGAACTAGGCATGGGCGTCGATGTCTCAAGCTTGGCCTTGATTGACCCGGGCAAGTGCCAGCATCCCGGACCCAACCTTTATGGACCTGAGACCCTCAATGGACACGGACGCTAGCGCAGGGGACCCGAGCATTGGTATCGAGGTCACGGTCCTAGCCTTGATAGACTCGATTCTGAGCGCAAGATCTCGGGCTAGGGCACTGTGGACCTAAGCCCGTCCTCAAAGGACCCGAACCCGGGTGTTACAGATCCAAGCACGAGCATCGAGGGAGTCGGGCAATGGTACCGGAGTCCGAGGCCCGGCCAGAGGCATCGGTGTCCCGAGCCGAATCTTTGTGGACCCGAGCTAGAGGAAATATGGTGATCCCACGAAATCAATTGAAGCAGGAGCCCAGTTCTGTCATTTCAGCCTCCTCAACTTGATGATTGTGTGCTCCTGTGGGCGAGGAAGGAGTGGCGATTTGAAAACGATTAATTAATTAATTTAATTTAATGGATATTAGTAGAATAGAATAGAATAGACCGGAGAATGGCAGTACCTTAATTTTTAAAAAAATACAAAATTTGGGGAGGTCTTTTTTGGTGGGGGGTCTTAGTTTAGCGTGAAGCTGGAGGATTATGGGGTCACGTGCGCACGTGCCGTGGCAGCGAGTCGGTGCATCGTTCCACATTAAAATAAATAAATAAATAACCCGGGGAAGCGCACGAATTGCGGGGCTCTGTGTCCCCTACATTCGACATCCCCACACCCCCTACCCCCCCCACGCGGGACACGCGCCCTCTCCCCCACGCGCCGCGACGAGGGGGCCCACCCCACCGGCAACGGGGGGAAGCCACACGTAGGTAGGGGGGCGCGCGGGTCCCGCCGGCGCCGCGGTGGGGCCCCTTGGCGAGCAAGACGTGCCCGAGCGCGTGGTGGGATCGGGAGCGCGTGGGGAGAGGGAGGTTGGTGGGTGGGGGGGGTGAAGAGAAAAGCGAGGCCAATCTATCTGGAAAAAAAAAACCGATAATTTCGTGTGGGCTTTTATAACTCCGCATTGACCGCCCCAGGGGCCGCTCTAACCCCACGACCGTATCTTTTGTGGCCCCCCACCTCCGTATCCCCCACCACCCCCACCCACCCCCCCCCTCTTTTTTTTTTAATTTTTATTTTATAATTTCGTTATATCCCATTTTCATTTACATTTTATAAGTCACCGTGTGTACTATGTGCTGTGCGTATATAAAAAATCAGAGGCCCGCCCGCCAACTCTTATCAACACCACATCCGATCTATCGAGCCCGAAAGCCCGAAAGACAGAAAGACGCGACCTCAGACACGGCCGACCTTTGCAACCGGACCCCCCGAAAATCATTATACATGACGCTCTCTCACAGTGCCCGACGTGGATATTACAATCGGGGATTGGTCGCGGTTCTATGGTAGTTGCGTCCCATGCATTGCTGATCATCCACGCATCCAGTTCGTGCTTGGAATGGTGGATTCTGGAAGACGCAAGGAAATGAGATTAGGAGCAACTTGTCGTGATTATTTATATCCCCCATCGGATGTCGACACCGGTCGCTTAATAATTTAAGAGCTGGCCCTCGTGCGTATAGTAATTACTCAAAATCAAGTCAATAAGCACAAGGCAAACGTCACGTTAGAAAACGCCACTAATCAAATCCGTGGAAGAAAGAGGCGATCCCCCCCCCCGCGGAGCAGCTATCGGTCCGAACCGGAACGGCGTCAAACAAACGGGGGCGGGCATCCTTTCCCATCGCGACAAAGAGGGGAGTTCCTGGACAAAATGGGATTCGGCCCATTTGGTCCGCTGTTGATTTGAATGAACTGTTCTTGAGCAGAAACCTTCGAGATGTGATGGGAAACAACCATGCTACTACTAGATGTGAGCGCACGTATGATTCGTGCGTTCCAGCGCCACCAAGCGTAGGAATGGAGAATGGGTAACAAGCGAAATTAAGGGTCCGTTTATCTTAAAGAAAACTGTTTCCAGAAAATTATTTTTCGATATTTTGATGTTTGGACGACGGAAAACCGATAGATATACGGAAAACTTTTGCCATGGACTAAGAACAACAAATTTAGATCGGGGGAAAAAGACTTTCTTTTCTGACAAGAAGAAAATCACTTTTCTTAAACTAACAAATAGATGAAAACTAACTATTTTCCTTGTAAATGACTTTCATGGAAAGCATTTTTCTTTGCCATCAAATTTTC